CTTGCTTAACCTTTTTTTTTTCTGTGTCACTAACGCAGAGGTGCTTTACCAGTGGAACTTCATTACTCTGTTTTCCTTGGAAACTGAAAATTAATATTTAGTTGGTCTTTAGAAAGCTTTATTTACATATGTATGGTTTTATAGTACGGCTACATAGCCCCTTAAAATATTTCCTCTGTGTAGATGAAGGTGTTTGAACAAATCACTCTACAAGCATGTTGTCGGTTCGTACTTCTGCACAGCAAAAGATTATTCAGACAACTTTAAAGTAGCTTTTTCTCTAGTTTTTACAATGGAGCAAATGAATTCTCATTGCTATACTAATTTAAAACTGAAATATTTTTTATGTCCATATACAAGAAATAGAGGGCTAAAAGGAAAAAAAAAGTCTGTTAATCTTGAATCAGATTTCTTTTCCAGCTGCCTGAACAAGTTGATTCCGGTGCAATTTGCACAGCTGGGCAGGCTGGCAGGTGGTAGGAAACATTTTGGGTAGGTGGCCTTTTACCACACTCTGAAATAAAGTGAAGTAGATAGTAAATCTGGAAGGAGTTTTTAGATTTTTTTTAACCAAAGTTGTCAAATAAACACTATTTTTACACGTATGTATGTTTCTTTTGAAAATTTGAAGGTTTTTTTAATCAGCTTGTAGCTTGTTTCTGTTGAATCCCCAGATACGCTTGTGTAATTCAGCATAGAGCATCAGCTCAGTAATTCTATGAGCTCATTGAGAAGACATGACTTGGAAAAGAGGCATTAAAAATACACTATAATTAAGTTATGCTGAGGCATCAGAACATGCACAATAAAGTTAACTTTAAAAATTGGACAAATTTAGCAAGAGAAATATCTGTATCAGGAACTCTAGAAGGAACATTCATTGGTATTTACATACGTATAAGCTGGTACTTAAATGTAGCAGTGTCCACATTAAATAGCAATAACAGAGTGCATGTGAATGGGGTGTTGTATTTTTAAATACTAGACGTACAAGAACAGTTCATCTGGGAAGAGATTTAATACAGAGGCAGTAATGACAGCATCTGTGAATGTTTCCTGCAGAATAGTTGAATCATTTGGAAAGAAAGATGACTGTGTATTGATGAACTATGGGAAGATCCCATTTACCTGCAAATTAGCCACTTCAGTAAATAATGCCATGAAACCTTCACTATTAGTAGGCAAAACTCTAAAACGGGGTTCTCCCAGTATCATCAAATGCGTCCGATACATTCCTATGCCAGTTTTTCTTAGCAGTGACATGAAATAAAGTTCAGATCTGTAAAAATGTGCATTTGTATTCAGATGATATTTAAATTCAATTTACTTTAAAACTCACAATTACAGTTTAGCTGTATAAAGACTTAAATATAAGCTATGTTAAAAAAAATTCATTATGAAATCCAAATAGCACAGTTTTGCTACTAGCTAGTCAAGATCACTCAGCTAATTGAAGTCTGTAACCCGTAACTAGAATTTAAGTGCAAAGCCAGACATTTTACCCTCTTCTGCAGAACAGATTTTTTTCCTTCATTTCACTGTAAAAATATATATATGCATTTCAGTTCAGTAGCTAAGTTATTCAAAGTTGAAAAACTGCTTGAGAATTATAACAAGACACCATTTTTTCCTTCTCCGACATTCAGATATAGTTCTACAAACTTAAAAGATATGGTTCATTTGAGTAGTACAGATAATACTAGCGTTGTGAATAAAATGATTCAAATTCAAGTTAGAAAGCAGGTTTCATAAATGTTTTTTTCCTCCTCTTAGCTATCTGTGTCTTTGCAGGATTTTACTTTTTGTTTTTTACATGCCTATATACTTTCAGTATTCAAATAATAAAATTTATCCATATATAGATTTTTAACATTCCTTAAAATGAAGCTTGATGTAAACTATGAGTAAAATCATCATCTAATAAATGAAAAATGCAGCATTATTTTAAACATTGAAAGTATGAATGCACTTATGTTAAGCTATGTAATTACTTACTTTGCTTAAATACATGTAGAATGGATGTTATCCTCCTAGATAGGAAGGAAAAGTGCCAAATTTTTCATAATGATGACGTAAGCAAATAGCAATGTATTTTGACGGTTAACAAACAAGAGACTTGGTCTTTCCTTGAAAATAAGAACTATAAAATCAAAGTCAAATTAATATTATTTAAAATAAGTTGTCTTTTTCACTGATTTAAAATGTAAATGCTGTCTTCACTGGACAAAGCATTTCTGCTAATTCTACATGGATACATATTCCAGAAAAAGTTACAAGAAAAAGCGGTCTGTTATGTATGTCCCCTGGGAGATACCTTCCTTTTTTTTCCCCCAGTAGTATAGGTTAATTTTCCTATAAATAAAAATGTATGCTTAGAATTTGTAAAGGGAGGAAGTTGTTTAAAAATGTCTGGCTATTACAATGTAGAAAGTGAGCAATTATTTTCACTGTATGTACCCGTATCAACACCAATGAATAACTAATATTAAATGATAAAAAGCAAAAGTCAGATTAGAATAAAAGAGCACAGTCCTTGTTAAAAATATGTATCTTAATTTTTAATTTTTGATATTATCTTTCTTCCATTTCTTAATTTTGTCTGTTTTTCCTCTTCCTCAAAAATCTATATGTGCTTTTTGCGTGTGTGTGTGTAATTTGTGTATTTGTGTAATTGCGTTAAGGATTATAATTTTGAAATGAAGCCGGATATTGAGATTTTTCCTGTATTCAGAGTAAAGCATACTGCCTCTTCCTCTAACTTGTTTCCGACGACAGAGTCAGTGCTTCATCAAAGCAAATAGAATTATTCCATGGTTTAGCATTTGAGGACTGATCTGACAACCCAATTTGAGAACAGGTAGAAAATTCAATAGTGGGTTCTTGAGTGTTCCAGTATTTGCTTTGTATTAGCTTCTAGGTATTTCATAGTCGTCTTTTCCATTATGTTCCTTGTCGTGCCCCTGATGTTTGAAAGTGGAGGGTTAGCAACATGTCCTTTCCTCCCAACAACTTTACAACAGCATCAATATGTTTCTATTTAGGGATGTTTCAATAATGTCTTCGGTTTCCTAGCTGTTAAGATTTAAGTTCATTCCTCGCAATAGTCACACAAGATAATGTATTGAAACAATGATGATCTTCCTTTTGGGATCAGTTGACACTCTGTAGATGCCTTCAAACATATTTTGAGATTTCAGGGCAAAAGAAGGAACCTAGTCAGACTAAGTAACTGAAGAAACTGCCTAAAAAAATTTCGAGTGCATCAGAACAAGTCTAGCTTACTAAATATTCTGTATTAGTGCAATCCTTAAATAAGATACTCTTGTGCTTATACGGGACATCTTCCTGCTTAAAGATCGGATGGGTCAAAAGTTAGGCTGCTGTAGGAGAATATTTCAGCAGGTTTTTGTACTCCTTTCTTATACCGTTCTCCTTTTTAAATAGTCCGCTCCTTCTGAGGTCAGAAAGTCATGTAGTCTGGGAATTTCACTTGAAAATTCCTTTGAGGCAGAGCTGATCCTTTGTAATTCATGTGGTTTCCATCACATTTCATCCAAAGTTCTAGGATATAAATTATCACTCTTTGTCACATGTGGCTAAGTGCATAGAGGTGAAGTTGATCCAGGTGGTGTCAAGATACTAGATTAGGTATAGCATTGGAAGAGCTGAGGCATAAGCTCAACACTGAATATTTGGAAAAAATCACAGCTGACGTGGCAACTGCTAGAGTCTGCTGTACTGTGAGCTTAAGTTGTGCACTCCTGTGTAGTGGGACAGGTAGCCAAACTTGTGGAGAAAAATGAAGAAGGTAGGAAAGTGAAAGATTCTTTCTGTAGGTTTCCAAAAGCAAACTCCAGCACATCTGTTATTTTATATATTCAGCTTCTTACCCTCATTGATTGTGTTGAATCAGGCAGCAACATACAATGAGGTCAAATAAAATGGTGAAGGTTTTATAAAAACTAAGAGGAAAGGTAATAAATATTATATATTTTAGAGAAAATGATCGCTAATACCTGATTTCCAAGGAGCTAGCTGGAATATCTGACTTCTACTTGAAGCTTGTTTACCCAGTAAGGTAGGCATTTTTTCCTAGCTTAGGGATAGGGAGAGAAAGTCTTATGTAGAAATAACGCATGTAAACATTTTAAAGTAGGTCTGTTTCAGTGTGCTGCCTCTCTTTTTCTGAAAGAGGAGATGTGACAATTTATGACAGAGACAATTATAGGTTAGGGGGTTTTGGGTTTTGGTTTCATTATTTTAAGTTTTTGATTATCAGTGCAAGCTACATTGTTACTGTCTCCTGAAATAAAACCCTAGTTTGGCTGACTTCATTACAGATGGTATCCAGATGATTGTCAGACAGGCCCTATTCTAAGAGTAAGTGAATTATAGATACAACCCCAAGAGTGATAAAGGCCTGAGGCCCAATGCTTGTGGCATGGGAGAATAATTCAGTGAGACCCTGAAAAAGGGACACTGATGCAGGTAGCCTCATAACAGCAAACTTCATCAAAGCAGTTGTTAATTATTACAAAGTTGTGTTCCCACAGGTTGCATTGTGCTTCTTCTAGCACAATGAACCTTCAGGCACTACCAAATAAAAATACTAATAAAAACTGTATTAAATATGTCAAACAGTGTTCCATCCTGTATAAAATACACTACATTGCTTAAAACTTGTCTCTGAAAGTTCTTGTGAGTTGTGTTTGACTGCGCAAGCAATCCATCTAGTCAGGACAAGGGGGGTTGATAAGCCAGTCAATGTGTATTTGTTTTTTAATTCATAGTACTTGAGAATGATGTATAAATGTAATTGTTTTTCTGTTATGTTTTCAGCAGTGTTTTAAAAGGTTATAAATCAAATGTTGCCAATATGGGAAAAGGTGTTGATTGGAGTGGTAACTCGTAACAGTTCTCCTGCACGTATTTAAAAAAAAGTAAGATAGAAGAATATTAATACATGTTTCAGTATCTGATTATTTTCAATTTTCCCACAGATATCAATGAGTGTCAGTTGCAGGGAGTATGCCCTAATGGTGAGTGCTTGAATACCATGGGCAGCTACAGATGTACCTGCAAAATGGGATTTGTGCCGGATCCTACCCTCTCAAGATGCATACGTAAGTAATAGTGCTAATCAAAGTACGAAAGTAGATACTTAGTTGCACTTTAAATGAGGATTTATTTGACTGGCCCCAACTCTTCTAAGCGGTCCCCATCTTTTTTGCTGTCCCTGCCTCCTTTTCTGAGCTTATTCACTTTATTTAGTCAGTCTCAGTGCTCATGCCTCTTTTCTGTCTCTTTGTCCTGGAAGCCTTGGTCTCCACCAACAGCTGTCCAGGATCCTTGCCATCTTTTCCGTGTTTTCTTGTCACAAAACCTTCAAGGCCGCATCCAGCCTCCTCATACACTCAGTCTTTCTCACCAGCCTGGAGTTCTCTTTCCCACAATTTTTTCTCCCTTCTCTGCTAGTTCCCCAGCCAAAATCATCTTTGTGTCCTGCCCTCCCCTCTTCCACCTCTGCAGCTTTGACCTGGGTAGTTTCCATTACTAAACATTCAGCCCAGGATGATCTTTGGCACATTTTCCTTCTGATTAAGAAGGATTAAAAATTAAGAAAGAATTAGGAGAAAGAAAAAGTTGTGAACAGCATGAATGCAAATATTTTCCTCTGTTAATCAGCTTTTACTTAGTTTGAGATCAACTACCTCTGCAAGAAGAAAAGAAAACATAGAGAACAACTAAATTTCTCACTTTAAGTTTTTTAGGAAGAATATTTACAAGTGAAAAATACCTCATTTCCCAAACTCCTTATCTAAGCTATCTTTTGATTTATAAAATAGTTTAGAGCTGTAGATGAATTCTTTCATTTTTTCAGCATAATTATCTTATGCTACTTGTTAATGACACTCAATTACTGAGAAAGTTTTTCAGCATTTTGAAGAATTTCTTAACTTTTCAGTTGAGCACCAGAAAAAAGGAGTTGGTTTTCATTTTTGCTTTTACATGTCATGTTGAAAATCAGCTAATCTTCGTATTTTTTGAGTTAAGTGAACATATTACCCAGAACTGTTAACTGTATGTGAATGTGGATGCATAAATTAGAAAGCTGGATGTTTCTTAGCTTCCTGTTACCTCATACTAGTCATAGCTGATGGCCTTTGGCTCTTCCACGCTAAAACTAAGCATAACAAAATGTAAATATATGATTGTCTTTTTTATTAAAAAAAGTCATATATGATCCTTAATCCTTTTGCAGTCTTATTTATATAGCCTACTTATAACTGCATGTTCCAGTGGCTATGTAGCTTGACACAACTGTATATTGCTAGTGATTGACCTTAGTCTTCAGCAGTTGGACTTGTGTACAAATGAGAGAGCTGATTCTGACTCTTTATTGTGGCAGCAACACAACTGCTGGTTTGGAAATCATTTTTTTTCTTTAAAATACTTTTTATCCTTGGTCTAGGATGAGTTGGAATTCAGGAGAGTTTGATATGAAATAAGAATTTTCTTTTATGTTGCGATTATGGCTTGAGATAGGTGTTTGAAATAAAACTTGTGCAGATGGTAATATTAATCCATTAAACTGGTGTTGGAAATCTAGTGGTGTTTCTCTGTTTTGCTTTTCATATGAACAGTACCATCCTCTCTTCCACTTTCATTGCAGCTGATAATCCTATAGTTGCTGAAGAGAAAGGACCCTGCTACCGGTTTGTTAGTGCAGGAAAGCAATGCATGCATCCTCTTTCTGTTCAGCTCAGCAAGCAGCTTTGCTGTTGCAGTGTTGGCAAAGCCTGGGGCCCACACTGTGAGAAGTGTCCGCTTCCAGGAACAGGTAAGAACTGCCCATTAAAAATTCAAGCTCTTGCCCCCACCCTATGCTTGTTATGCGTGCTTTAAAAAAAAAAAAAATCCAAGAATTGATTTTAAAAAAGAAGTGTCCATCAGTAAATTATGACAGTTCTCTACATGATAGTAGAATAATCACATATTACAGTAGTTTTGTTCATAGGGAGTTGTGGTTAAAACAATGGAATTATCTTTGATATGTTGTGATAGAATTCCAGATTAACGATATTTGCATCTCAGAATATGTCCTTGAACTTTGATTCTCCATCACATGAAGATGAATTTATTGTACGTTATATTCTGACTATAGATACAGGCAAATTAACCCAAAATCTAATTAATACTCTTCAGTTGTTAAAGGCACTGGTGAAAGGATGGCAGCTTTTGAGAATTAGGTTACAGAACTACATGTGTTGTAGTTTACATGACAGTTAGTGGGATACGTATGGGAGTATCTCTGCTTTCTAACCTTCCTTCATATCTTTACCATCCATTTTGAGGAATGTGTGAAGTATGGTGTTGCCTTCTTAACAATAAACTGGGAGTTAAACATTTCATGCCACCTTTCACTTAAAACAATTCTTTACTTGATACATAAAGCTCACTTGTATTATCTGTGTTCACTTGGAGTCCTGCTGGTTTTTAAATATATAAGGACATGGAAAATACCAGCTTGGTTGATCACCACGCTCATTTGGGCTACTCATAGATTAAGATACCACATATTATAGATACTGATCGCTGCTTTCGAGTACCTTCTATTCCCTGATTTTGCTTAAAACTTACATGACCAAAGTTGGAGTCTTTAGTCAAAATCAACTGAATACTATTTTTTGTCCAAATGTATGGTCAAATTCATCTTTTTTAAAAAGCATCATTGCCTCTTGTAATATACATGAGGTACAGCCTGTTCAGTATTTTAGTAATGGTAATCCACAGTTCTTACTGAAGTTGCCACTGCAAGATGTCACTGTTATGATACAGGTCATGTATTTCTCTGGAGTATTTTATAAAGATTCAGATTTTCAAAACCAGCTGGCTGCTTTGGGAAATCCACAGCTAGCATCAGGGACATGATGAGAGCAGCGGATTCCTTACTTTTTAAAGTTGGGCTTACAGAAATGGAAGTGACCAACATTTTTGAGCATTTCAATTGATTTTTAAAGCCGTTGTTTCCTGCATGAGCATTGGGTTGCTAGATCACTGATTAGGATTTTAGAAGTCCAGTTCACTTTGAGATAAATAATATTTCTATGGCTTTTTAATGGAGAAAAAATATATTCTCATCAGATGACTCGCAATTTAAGTGCAGATGCTTTACACGTATGAGAATATTGCATGAGGCTTTATGCCCAGTTGTGTATATTCTGGAGCAGAGAATATATCTTTTTGCGAAGTTGACTGCTCTCTAGTCATAAAAAGTACATCGATGAATAGTGTGTGGAATTGGTTATTCTAGTGATCTTTCTTAATGAAAAGGCTTCAGAGAGAAAATCTGTGAGTAGAAAATTCTGATAAGCTGTGTGGGAAACACTTTTCCCATTTCATGACAACTTTCATGATTTAAAAACATATTCCTTTCTATAACAGGTTAAATTCATAATCTTTCAGAGTTTTCTGTGAAAAATGTGTGAAAGTGGGATACTCCAGAATGGGGTAATGTATTTACTGCAGCATCCCATGTTGATTTAGGAGTCACTGAATTAAAAAGTCATGATCTCACTCTCTGATAGCTTTTAAAATATTTGTACAAAGTAGACCAGCTCCAAAAGAGAGACTGAGAGAGACCAGCTTTGTATACCCAAGTGTTGAGAACACTTATCAGAGCTGTGGTAGAATAAGGCTCACATTGCTATTCTGCATTTGAGAGAATATGCCCTGAAACAAGGTTTCCTACATCCTGAGTATGCATCTGAAGGGACGGGCGTCAAATTTTCTCTGTCTTCCTCCTTTGACCAGAATTCCCACCCTCAGTTGGATGTTTTTGTGGCAAGTTTTGATATTAGCATTTCCCAGCAAAAAGTATTTCAATCATTCTAAATCCACTCAATTTAATCAGTTTGACCCTTCATCTTTTCTATTACTAAGACACCATCAGAACACAGTATGCAATTAATGCATACTGCAATTTAATGTATAACTTAATGAATTCATCTGTGGAGTACCTATAGCTAGTATTTTGTGGTTTATTTTAGATATTAATTCATTTTAAAACCCTGGTGTGTTCAAAGCAGAATTTGTGAACTTACCAATGTCCCCACTCTGCACATCTCCTAAGAAGCTGTAAGAAATCACATCGGGCACATGGGAGACAATCTTTGGTGTTTCATCCCAACGTAGCTTTACCTAAAGCAATGAGGACAATGAAGCACTGCCCCCTCAAGGCTCCTGAAGGTCTCCCTGTCCCTGACAAGAGCATAGCTATTATCTTGGATGGGGAGGAAGGCTGACCTGTATTTCTCTTTCATTCTAGTCTTCCACTAGGACTGCAAAACCTGGTGCTCATGTAGAGCAGCTGCAGAGATCAGAGCAGCTGCTGCTGCCTGACTTTCATTACCTTTTTCAGTAGCAGCTTTATAAATGAGATTATTTCCCCTCTCTTCCAGTGGTGATTTGGCTTTTTATGATCCCCATCTTGTTTTTATCCAGCCCACTGAGGTCAGTGGAAAGACTTATTCAATTCAGTGGAATTTGGATCAGGGCTGGTATGAGACCTCTAATGTAGTCAAATGGGATCCTATGAATGAATGTTGTTACTGGTTGATACTCTTCTGCTCCTCTGGTAGAGGGTGGTGAGCTTTTTTCCTTTGGTTTCGGCAAAAGGAGAATGATAGAAACAGTGATCTTGATTCCTTATGCAGTGTAGATGATGATGACAATTTGCATATTTAAATTCATATTTGCAAAGGATATACTGTTTGAAGAGGATTAATACAAAAATTCTCTTGATAAAATGATAGATTAAACATAATTGAAAAAAGATGGTAAACTGGAGCGGAAACCTGATGGGAATACCAGCCAGAACATGCTTTTGGGAGAATGCTCAGTCATATTAGCATGCAATGCACAGCTTGTCTTTAAATATTTCTTTGTAAAAATGTATATACAATATGAGATTAAATTTGTCAGTGGTAGTCATTATATTTTCCACTATGTCAACATATTGCACTTTTAGACTCCTAAAAGGAATATTTTCCCATCCCAAATCTAGCTGCTTTTAAGGAAATCTGCCCTGGTGGAATGGGTTATACGGTTTCTGGCCCTCACAGAAACAAGCTATATCATCACCCTGCAGTTAGAGTACAGCCACCTGTCATTGGCAAGACCCCGATTACTCAACCTGTTGCTAAAGGTACTTCTCCTCCACCTCTCCCAGCAAAGGAAGAGCCAGTGGAGGCACTGACCTTCTCACAGAAAAGTGAGACTGAGATGGCTGTGCAAGAAGGTGAGAGTGGGAAAATTTAGTCTTTCTATATTTCTATGCATGTGTCTTCAATGGTATGTTTCTTTGCGGAGTAGCTGCGTACAGTGCAGGACAAAGAGGCATGACTTCCCACAGCAGAGCGTTCCACGTCGTGGAGTGTATTGTGTTACATGATTTACTTCTGAAATTTTGTGTGTAGCTCCTACCAGATGCTGAGAACACCATGGAGAGAGACAGACTGCTTTAATCTCATTAGTTTTTATGATAAGAAATAGTAAATATTTGTTTTAAGACTTTTATAAAAATATTTATGATCTTTAACATAGAACAAAGGACTCAACTCGGGCTTTGATTTACTAGTATTTGTGGTGGCAGAAGCTAAGGGGGTTTCATCATCTTCCTTCCATATGCTCCTGTAGATTAGCACCACCTGATGTGGGCATGCTTCCCCTTCATGTGGTCTGCTCTCACCCCTGCAGCTGTGCACTCCCTCGGCGTGACCATGTTGGATCAGCCCGTCTCTGCTGGGCTGTTGAACGATTAGTTGACTCCTCTAAGATATTTTTCTCAGACTTGGTTTTCTGCAAGCTCCTCTAAGAACTTACAGCAGCCAAAATTTTCCTGAGTCTAAAACAAATGCAGAAGCAAAGAAATGCAGAAAGCAGCACTATTATAAATAGATTGCCAGCAAACTTGGCATGAACTAACTGTAGACAAGAAGAAATACATTGCTGAAGAACTCTCTCATGATATTGAGTACTTAATAGGTTATTTCCAAGTAGCAGTTATGTATCTGTATGTCAGGCCATTATTAGAAAGAGTTTCAGTCAGCTGACTTTGCAAAATTCTGTGCAACGTGGGTTACTTTCCAGTTAAAATCACTGCGCTAGTTTTGCTTTCAAAAAGAAAATGGAGCTAAACTGAATCTGGAGAGAAAAATAAGCCATTCAAATATATTTACAGACTGTGCTGGATTATAAAATCTCACATAAACCTCTGGGCTTTTCTGTGTTACAGAGTGGAAAAAAGTGCTGTATCACTTGCTAAAATATTACTTCAGTAATTAGAAAGATTGCCGCATTCTAGTAAATCTTAAAGCACAAAGAATCTGAAGAAAAAAGGAGTATTGTTTTTTTCTTTAAATAAAAAAATCTAAAAAAATATGCTTACTCTAAGTCAGTAACGACACATACAAGTTTGAATTTTATACTCCATTTTTGGATATGTTTGCATTTGGAATTTTTGATATTTTTATCAGAAGTTCTCCCAGTTCTGATAATCAGCCTCCCAGCTAATACTGAAGAAATTAGAGCAAGAAGAGTGATTTTTTTTTTTTTCCCCCCAAAAAAAAAAAATCTATCCTGTGGAAAATGTTGATTGCGAAAAGAAAAATATTCTTACATTTTTTTACAGAACCATATAGATTTTCATCAGTAAATGACAAATTCAGAAAAGGCTAACTGCAGTAAATGGAAAATAAAAACTTACATGAAATTTCTACCTCTCCTTCCCAGAAAAAAGTCACTCTTGTGGAGGGGAAAAAAAAAAACAACCACCACAAAACACTTTTGCTTCCTTAAAGAAAAGGCAAATTTCAAAACTTGATTTTTTTTTTTCCCCCCAGTAAATTCGTGCAAATTTGTTAATGGTTAATTATATACCATTATGATATTAATTTACCTTTAAAATAATTGCAGATGTTGATATCCCTTGGAAGGAATTAAAGAAGTTTAATCAGTGAGTTAATAAGCTGCGAGTTTCTTGGATTGTTTCTAAGGAAACAATTGAGAAACCTATAAGGCAGCTGAATACTGAGTAAATAATTATAAGCATTGGTCAGTGTGTAGAATCTTATTCTGCTTTCAGGTTAGTTGTTACACTTGCTTCAGGAACATTACTTCAGGTTTGCACCATTTTGGAATGTGTTTAAGGCCTGAAATTTTTCTGTGATGGCAACAAACGCTTTCAAATGTGCTAGTAGTTTTAAGTAGAATGTCTAAGTGAATGTTATGTGAAGACTGATTAATTTTCTTTTTTCTTTCTGGTTTTAGTGGCAACTGCAGCCCCTGATCAGGTAAAACATGATGTGATTTATCTAGGAATTAGAATGCAGACCATGTGTATGAGATATGATACGATAACTCTGAAAAGGATTTAGGATTTATGAGGAGCGAACAACTCACTGTGGACTTACAGTGCAAACCCTGAGGCAAAAAGAGCTCATGTTATTGTTATGTACAGCAACAGGCAGGTAGTGAGGTACAGGAAAGAGATTACTTTAACCTCTCTTTAGGGCATTGATGGAGGGTCTAGTGCTATATTGTTCTATCCCATTCTGGAGCCTGTATTTTAAAGAGGATATTGAAAAATGCAGACAGTATGAAGGAGAGCCACGGATACTGACAGCTGGAGATGATGAGTTGGAGAGAAACAGTATGAAGCTTTGAGAAGCATTTGCGACACCTGCTTAAGGGACTTGTATTAATGCCTAAGTTAGTTTCCTAGGTTTTTTAGGGTTGCTGTGTATTCAGTGGAGAAGAGCAGGTGCGTATCTCTGTTAAGTCCCCCATTCTGGAGGTTCCAGGTTCTCTATGCTGAAGATAATGGGATTCGTTAGGAATAACTGCAGCTGTACTTCATTTCATTTTCCTAAAGACTTACAAGCATCTAACACTTTTATGAAAACAAGATGATCAGTGCAATAGCTAAGAGAGAACCTTTTACAGTGGTCAAAGATTTAGAGACATATGTGATTGTAAACTTTTCTGTGATACTGAACTGCAATTAAATACTATTAATAAGCAATTAAAGACCAGAGGATGGGAGAACTATGGAGAGACAAAGCCAAAGATACAATTAGAAGCTCCATGAAATGGCTGCTTCAAATAAAATCAATGTTAAATTGTACGCCATTGTGTAAACATAGTATTCCATGTTCTTTCAGGTTTTAATTGATGGTAATTAATGATCTGCTATCAAAAGCCACTCGTGAGAATGTTAGCAGTTTCTCAAGCCGGGAGTTTGTGGGTTGTTATGATAGCTGAATTAAGAGAATGTTTTCAGAATGTAAATTTTTAATCATTCTTTTAGGAATTAGCTTCCCTCGATCAAGAAAAGCAGCCTGATCTAGAGCCTGGGCAGCCTCAGCTTTCTCCTGGAATTTCAACAATTAACTTGCATCCACAGTTTCCAGGTAACTTGTTTTGACTTGTCTTCTAGTATGAGAGAGTGCTTACAATTCTTCTAAGAATGGGAAGGTAGCAATTGTAACAGAGGTTGATGAAAAATTGATTGCGGCTTCACAAGCAATTTTTCCATGAGCAGAATACGGGGCGGGGGGGGAGGGGCAGGAAATCATGGAAGCTGAGGTGGGAGGAATTGAGAGGTTGGCATTGGCTGAATGACTTGTTAGGAGGCAAAGACATATTTTAGGCGAAAGTAATATCCTGGATTACATACATGAGCATTTTAATGTCAGCAGAGTTGAGACCTTGTACCCCTTTCAAGAGTAAACTTTACTTAGGTGCCTCCTTCTAGATTTATGCATAATTTTTTCTGCAAAAGTTTTACTATTGTGCTTGCTTTCTTTAGCACCTGTTTTTTTTCACAAGCAGTAGAATGATGGAAAACGCAATTATACAATTTTTTTTTCTACTCCAGATCTAGGCAGAATAACTCATGAAAAGCTCCATAGTGTCTGGCCTATTCAGTATCATGTGTGAATTCTTTAAGGGGTTTTTTTTTTGAATGTGATTGATTTCCATTCCATGTCACACAGTAGTGATTGAGAAAACATCTCCTCCTCTGCCTGTTGAAGTTGCTCCTGAAGTCTCTACTTCGAGTGCAAGTCAAGTAATTGCACCTACTCAAGTTACAGGTATTGTACTTCCTTTTTAGAACAAAAATAAATTAAGAAACGACTGTGAGTTCCTGACGCTATAACTTGTTCCATACTACTTCTGAATTATAATACCGAAGAGAATGTAGCTGCAGAAGAGAAGGGAATACTCTGGGGAGAGATAGAAAGTACAGAACAGCACAGCAATGAGGGTACTGTCAATAGAGCTAGGACTGGACCCTCCCAGGCTGTACCTGCCATTTTTGCACCTGCAAATAAATGATAGAAGGAAAAATTAATAATTCCACCTCAGATTACATGATCTGCAACCAAAGGCCAGAACTGAAGACTTCTTGGCTACAAGTCAGGTCTTTAGACAGTCTGCACATGTGTTCGTCTTCTTTGAGGGATGTAGACTTTGTGGCATGTAGATCAGCACGTTCTACAGAAAGCAGATGAGGAGTTATTGTAAGATCTATTTTGAAATGTTCTTTTGAGGTTTGTGCTTCTTCCTTTTTTGATGTATTAAAGTTGCCTTTTCTACATCCATGTGTCAAGAAGTGAAAATAACAGAAATGCAAGTAATGCTCCTGTCATAGCTGAAACTTGTCTAAGTGATGGCTGTGTCCAAAAGACATGAAAATTTCACTTGCTGTACATTTGAAAACAAAAAGGTGAATGTACTGTGTGTGTATACATGAGAGCATTACAATGTCACGTTGGCTAGTCTCTCAGAATTAACACAGGCTTTGAAGTAATTGCAAGATCCAGGTAAATACTTTGAGATGCAGTATTGTATACGGTAGAGAGATCTAGGCCTACCAAGAGGTTTCCCAATTGGCATTCACAGGGGGAAATTGCACATGCTTTAATAAAAGTTTAACTCTTCAAAGATGGCTTTCCTTCACGCAGGAACGGATTTTTGAGTTGCACGCAACATGCGCAGGGTCTAAATCATCCGGTTGTTTGAAGTACAATTCTGTCTGCGGTTAAATCCTCCTGAATCTGCTGTAAGAGAAGGAAAGTATCCTGTCCTTCTGTGAGCATTCAGCTGCCTTCTTCAGTTACCTATAATTACAGTCTGTCAATCCCATATGAAAGTTCTACTAATGGTGATTGTCAAAACAGAATTTGGAAGTCAGCTCTGCTGTGATTGTGCCCCTTCTGCCAGCCAGGTCCCTGCTTGCTTACAGGGAGAGGAAGTTACTCTGTAGAGAACTCACATCAGTTAGAAAAAAAATGGTTTTCCCTGTTCTGCTGTTTTTTCTTCTCTCAGAAAAAGGGATAGAACTAGAAATTGCTGTGTGCTATAAACAAATCTGTTGTTCAGATACGGTTCCAAGCGTTGTTCAGGTATTTAAGAGATAGTAAAGTATAAGTGATTTGTAAGACAAAATCCTAAATTGGATTTAAAAAACTGAGAATTGAGATGTTTTTGAGTGCCTTAATTCTGTACTTTAAGATTTAGTTAAATTTAAATGTAACCTATTTCTAAATAGTCTGGATAAATGACTCTTCTTTACAGATGGTTACTTTTTCAGAAATTACGATTTCATGCTGCTGTATAACCTTAGTTTACATTGCAACTAAACACAGTCATTAGTATTTTTTGCAGTAACGCATATGCTTTGAGAATTTCTAAATCTACTGCAAGGGTTTAGCATCCAATGCTGCCTGTATCTGAATCTCCTTATCTTACAAAATACATCCACGCCATTAACAGATGAGTATTCTGTAAAAACAGTCAGAAACTCACTACAGTTATTTTCTTAACCTTCGATGCAAAGGTTAAATAGTATAAATTTTTATTTTATATTATCTTCATTTTACTTTATGTACCCATTTATAGATCTTGGATGGGACATGAGACTATGTCACTAGGAAAAGCCTAGATGGTTTCTAGATTCTTCCAGATAAGGTATCCATTACAGAAACTCAGGACTTACAAACTTGATTTACAGTTCTTTTCAGGCCTGATCTTTCTACTTGGATTACAGAATATTGTACCCTTACTGAACTATGTGGGAGAGTTTAATGTTAAACTTTTTTTTGTTTGCTTAGAAATCAACGAATGTACAGTTAATCCTGATATCTGCGGAGCAGGACACTGTGTTAATTTGCCTGTGGGATACACTTGCATCTGCTACGAGGGGTACAAACTTAACGATCAGCAGACAAAGTGCTCTGGTATGAATGGATCTGAAATAACCATGCTATGAAATGCTTGAAATGTAGAGTCTGGTCAGGGGAAATATGCTACAGTGCAGTCAGGAGTTGCTGAATGCTTCTTCTGAATGCTTCCAAACTATACAGAAACTGGTTTTTGTATGGCAAATAAAATTTGCCAGCTAGCCTCTGATATAGCCTTTCAGCCGCTTAGAACTGAATGTGAATTTAATTAAATTGAATGAAAGCCTTTCCCATTGTGAGATGAGAGAAAAAGTGATTAGAGAGACCATCTCTTCTCAGCTTTGTATCAGGTATCTAAAATCGTCAGACTGGCAGGAAGAAATACACTTCTGTTTGGAGAAAGAATGACCGAATTAGTGCCTGTTTCTCAGAATTATTTGCCCAGCTACCAGCTCTGCAGCTGGACTAAATCCAGTCATTTTGTTAGGTCTTTCCTTTCAGCCTTCTGCTGAAAAGAGAAAGCATATCATAAACATCCCAGAAGCACATTAGGAGATCTGCAAAGTGAGGTCTTCATCCCCTTCAAAGCTAGTGAGTTCTGGAACAGAGGGCTCTGATGAGCTCAAGGCGAGGCCCAGACTGGCTCTACATGAGCCATTTCAGGTTTGGAAGCAGCTGTATCTGTATCTTTCTTTCATTCAGAGTATGCTGGTTTCTCTGTAACTTGGATCAGAAAGAGTTCATTGTATCATATCATGTTGCCAGATTATATACTATCAACTTTTCACGCTACCAAAAGTTCAGTAACTTCACACTGAGACGCCTGCTACCAGGTGCAACTACAGCTAATTTATTAATTTTAATAATTAATTATTAAAAAATAATTTACACACATACACAGCCATATGGCAACTTAAAATCCTTCTATTTCATACAAATTGTGTTAATGTTCCATGCTTGGCAGCTTGTGCTCAGCTTGCACTCAGAGTAGTGATTTGAATAGTAATCATGTCACATTCTTCAGGCGAATGCAATATTCTTATAGTCTAAGCCAATAAGAGCATTTTTTTTCCAACCAAAACTATTTAATGCATCTTTTTTGCAACTCTGAGGGAGAGGAAAACATATACTTTTTCAAATAGTTAAAATAATTACAAGATCAGTCTTTTCAAAACCATGGCATAGAATGCATGAAAATAATCACAACTAAATATGTTATTCTATAGTCTTATGTTTTTATTTCTTTTATAGATATTAATGAGTGTAATCAGGCACCCCATCTCTGTTCCCTTGGACGCTGTGAAAATACAGAAGGAAGTTTCCTATGTATTTGCCAAGCTGGATTCATGGCCAGTGAAGATGGAACCGACTGTGTTGGTAATTACTAGTCACCTTTATAGAAAATAAAAATATGAAAATAAATCAAGAAGCTTACCTGAAAGCCACTAAAGTCCCCTTTTTGGCTTTTTTCCTCAATGTCATTGATACTGGACTGATGTCTGGAAGTGTATTTAACTGTCTCTCACCAGGTGTTGTGGTGAGGAAAATATTTGAGTAGCTCCTACTAGTTTTCAAAATGATTATTTGTTGAAAAACAAGAATTTATCATGCTTGTTTAGGAAAATTACCACTTAGTAAAAACACCTTCTGTGGTGAAAAATACAAATATTCAAAACTCTTTCAATCACTAGCGGCTGTAACAAACCATGGTTTTTAAATGTAGCTGCAAACAGCCATGGACTTTGCAGAGCAATACAAACAGCCTGAATTGGCTGTGGTCTTCCTCAGGTTAGTGCTGCCTTGGGCGCATTATACACGCAGTGACATGCCTTGTGTTTGTGACCACAGGGCTGCTCACTGGCCTTCCGACAGCCTGGCTGTTTCTAGATCTCATTCTCTCTGTGATTACAAGCAGTGAGGTAAAGATGGAACTGCTCAGTAATAACAGCTGTAGTGCTGTGGCTTGCAAACAGCTTGAAAATCCAAACTTACGTTTAATTAAAGCAGAGTTTAGGGGCGATGCAAGCATTCAGTAATTTCATGGTGAAGCAAAGTTTCTCTTAACCTCTCTTTTTCGTCTGCAGATTTTGATGAATGTTCAAGACCTCATACTTGCGGGGAAGGCTTTTGTATAAATACTGTTGGCTCATACAGATGTGAATATTGTGATAGTGGATACCAAATGAACAGGAGAGGTGAATGCGAAGGTAGGTTTGGACTCTTCACCAGTAGTAATACAGTAACAGTTGCCAAGCCAAACAACTGCAATAGGAAGAATCATTTGTTCGCATTGACTGCTGTTTCTGATCTCAACAGAAAACTTTACATCTATTGATTTATTTTTGAAGAAATCTGGCCATTAGATGGAAATATTAAAATAACAGATTTTTTCATGTTTAACTTAATATTTTTCTACCTGGTATATTTCTTTTAATTCCTTTCAATCTCCATTTGCTATTTGATTTCAGATGGAATGTCTTGGCACAGTGGTTTTATATCTATTTGTGTTCAGAGCTCCCTTTCCCCATCCCACTCTGTGCTTATTTCCATGGGTAATTTCTCTAGCTTAACCTTACTGCTGGATTTCTCTCACAGCTACTTTCTTCATTTAATTTGCCTTCAGATCATTTAACTTCCCCCTGTACACCAGCTGAGAATGGCAGAATGTTCAAAAGGATGTTGCTTGTTTTATCTACGGTATGTCCTGGATGATGAAGTGAAGTTACCATTTATTCATATCACAAAAACAATGCCAGACGTTACCACTCTGGAATGATTAACATTGCCTGCTGTTCAAGGGAGGCTTAGCACTGCGGCTTGAGCTGCAAAGGGAGAATTCTCAGAGGGTGCAATCTTAAACAAGAAACCTTTTTGAGTACTCTCCAGTCTTTTCAGTTATTTGATGTCTGGAACCACAATTCAATTCCTATTATTTAGATTTAAGACACTGCAAAGGAGTTCCCCCACTATGGACAGAACGATCTTGGGACAGCTATTTTAACAGCTCTTGCCATGGAATCAAACAACTTCATTGTTAGTCCTTCCCTGCATACTTTACCAAGTTTCTATTTAAAAAAAAAAAATAAATGGATAATTTTTCCTATATTATAACAGGTAGCAAATGATAAGTTGACTTTTTTTAATTTGGAAACGTATTATCTGGCCGGTATTTAATGTTGCAGGAGATCCTAGGACATCTGACCTTCAAAACTTCACGTTATTTTTCAGTGTGATATTTTTGCCTTTTTTGCTCTTCTTTTTTCTTTTTTCATTTTCAACTGGAATTGTGAACTAAAAACCACAAGCAGCCATTTCATTTTAAACATAGCTTTGTTCAAGCTTTAGTCTAAGTTACTTAGGACAGAATAAAATTGCTAACATGTTAGGTTGCCTAGCAAATAAGCAACTTAAAGCTGCTGTGGATATATTTGCTGTTCTGAGCATTGCTAAAAGATTCCTCTTTATATTCAGACAATTTTTTTTTTATTTAAATAAATGTTTCACGCACTCCACTCTTACACCTACTTTTTCCAAATCTTCTCTGTCAGTAGGGAATCTGTGATTAAAATAGGCTAGAAATCAGAATATCACAGTGCATCAAATCTCTTATTAGCTCGTATTTTAAGTGGTGTGGTGGTAGTCCTCTATCATTTAACTTAACAATAGGTAATTTCTGAAACCAAATTCTCTGTGGAAAATTTAAGGTTGCTTAAGGGAAAAACCTTCCTACACTAAATCCATCAAACCAAGGAAATGACGCATTCGGGGAATCATTTCACCATGTCATTACACCTACACGTTATAGTTACCCTACTTGACAGATTCCAGATTCCACAAATAACTCCTTTCCACCTCCTCCACACTTCAAAAACAAAGGCAAGAATCCTCAAAGCTGCACACAATACACACAGTTCACTTACACTTCCTTACCCCATATTCATTCTGCCTTCAAGCTATACTCATGCAAGCTCTGTTGTGGGCTTAGCCCAAGAGTGCATGTATGTTGTTGTTGAGTCTATTGTTTATGTAGAACAGTGTTATAGGCATAGCTGAACGTCATTGCATACGATTAAGTATTCCTATAAAATCTTCTTGTGATTTCTTTAAGCTTTGCAGCGTTTAGACTTTATTTTGACTGAAAATTTCTGTGCCAAATGCATCATTCATGTTGTGTGTTTTCAGGGCAGATACAGTCCAGGCAGTTCTGAGAACAGGTTTCAGCAGAAGTGCATTTTTTTGTTAATTAAATAAAAAAACCTCACAGCAGTTTCACCGAGAAACATTTGCAGGTCTGCATTGTAGCGGCTTGAAGAAGCCTGTTGCTTTTTTTATGAGAAAGTATTCTCAGCTGGACAACCATGAGTCTGTGAAAAATTGTGATTTGCTCACATCAGTGAGTTGTTTGGAGCTGAGATGTTCGGTTCTCTGAAGGTTGGAGCATTGTCCAGTTAAATTACAAGTGTTGGAGGCTACATTCCTTCTGTGAGCTTGTTCCCAAAACTGAGATTAAATTGCCTCCCTACTATCTGTGCTGGAGTAGCAGTCCTTAATTGCAGAAGACACAACCGCTAGGCTTGGGGCAGGCAAGGGACAGGAGCTTAGGAAGCTGGATTTAGAGGTGACTTTGATGATTTCATTAGGTCTGTGCGCTGCATGAAGCAAATATTTGGTAGGAAAGATTATAATTATTGTGTAATTAAAGACCACGTTATAAAATGATACTCAAGTATGGGAGCAGAATGGAATGGGGCTGCCCACACACTTTTAATTCCAGCATCTTCTGATCATTGGTCACTTGACAGCAGCTTGTCTTTGAATGTCATTTTTGTATGCAGTCTCTTTTAGATCACATGTATTGCATGTATTGTGGGTTTCTTTGGCGCAGGATAACAAGTTCTTGGTAGACTGCTCAGAGCCTGGACATGAGATCCATGAGTTTTTTAGGTCCTATCTCTTGTTTTGTCATGGGTAAACTGGGACCTCTCCTGATGCAACAAGTCCCTCTATCACCCTAAACATTGCCAGCCTCAGTGATATGTGTGTTGTTTTTGCCTTCTTTCAGACATAATTAACTCCCTGCTCCCTGTAAACATCTTTGATTACCATTCACACAATTAAATTTATAGTCCACGTAATACTTACATGCTGCATAACTCTAGGACACTGGAGAATACCAAATTCCTCTTTGCTTTGAGAAGCCAGAGTTACAATTTTATTGTTGTTGCAATGCACTTCCGAAGTCTCTTGAGACTGACTATAGGAAGAACCTCAGGACACTTCAATATGGTAAAGGGGTGATATAAGCAATGTTATTCTTACCTATCTAAGCCAAAAGATAGCTGATATCTGATCTGTTGTATGTTATGGAGGGCCTACCAAAGATTCGCAGTATAACAGTGTCCTGGTTTTGGCTGGGATAGAGTTAATTTTCTTCCTAGTAGCTGGTACAGTGCTGTGTTTTGGATTTAGCATGAGAATAATGTGATAACACACTGATGTTTTAGTTGTTGCTAAGCAGTGCTTAAACTAAGTCAAGGACTTCTCAGCTTCCCATACCCTGCCAGCGAAGGTGCACAAGAAGCTGGGAAGGGAGCATAGCCAGGGCAGCTGACCCAAACTGGCCAAAGGGATATTCCATACCATATGACGTCATGCTCAATATATAAGCAGCGGGGATTTGGCTGGGGGGCAGTGATCACTGCTTGGGGACTGGCTGGGCATCACTCAGCAGGTGGTGAGCAATTGCATCGTGCATCACTTGCTTTGTATAGTCTTCTATTATATTATTATTATTATTATCATCATCATCATTACTATTACTATTTTACTTTATTTTATTTCAATTGTTAAACTGTTCTGATCTCAACCTGCGAGTTTTCTCGCTTTCACTCTTCTGATTCTCTCCCCCATCCCACCGGGATGGGGTGAGTGAGCGAGTGGCTGTGTGGTGCTCAGTTGCCAGCTGAGGTTAAACCATGACAAACAGAAAATTCAGATTCAGTTCCATGTAGTATGATATAATTTATTTCTCAGAGATGCCCCTTCGCTGGTACAAATCTGTGCGAACTTGTACCTTCCTGGGTCTCTAACAGGTAAAGTACACAATTCTTTAAACGTATTAGTATAACTTAAGCACAGTCAGAATAATGAGATTAATTTATTGTTCAATGTTTTGTTATGGTTTTGACCGGTATTTCCTTTTATCTTCTCTTTTGAAGACATTGATGAATGCCTGACTCCAACTACGTGTCCAGATGCACAGTGCATTAATGCTCCTGGCTCCTACCAGTGCATTCCTTGCAGAGTGGGATTCAGAGGCTGGAATGGACAGTGCCATGGTATGTTTGGTACTCTTTGTATCTCCAGTTATAGTTCTTGTTCTGAGATGCTGTATTTCCTATGTCATCCATGTTACAACCTGATGACAGCACTGTGCCCTGGGTCCCCATTTCATTCAATAATAATTGAAAATACGAGATTTTTGAAATGACTTTATAATCTCAGACACAGTGTATATGAGGAAATCATGTTTTACTATAGATAAATGAACATTGACTCTAGACTGCAAACAATACAATTATAATTACAAAACAAAATTCTTGAAATAGAAAATATGGAACTGAAAAGGGTATATTATCAGTGAAATGCTAGTAGGCCGCTGTTTGGAGGTATTAAAAAATGGAAAAAACATGAGAATGCTAACACATCAGTGTGACTGGCAGGCTTTTCAATAGGATATGGGAGTTTGCTCACAAAGCATATTAATAAAACTTCTTAATTATCTGTACTTCCAGCAAAACATTCAGCACATCTTAAAATGGCTTGTCTTGCTTTAGGTTATGTTTTTAGGACAGATTTCTCACGTTACAGTTTTGTCGATTTGTTTTTAAATGTTAGATTTATTTTTTTCCAAATCGGTTTTGGCTATTTGAGATGAAGTTAAGAAAGAGCAAATGAATCCATTGTGCAAAAAGAAATAATCTTTTGCAGTTTTGAGTGCCACTTCCTCAGGCGCTCTCAGAAACTTAAATTTGATCCCAGTTGTGAAGGATGTGCTGTCTGTTGTGAAACCTCCCATCCACTCTGCGTGTAACACATGCCCTATAATTCGTGATGGTTGGAGTAACCATGTTACCTAAACATAGGTGTATAATAACCTACACAGGAGGTGTCTGCATTATTGTTGTAGGTCAGATTGGCAGTGTACTTCCATGGCTTATTTCCTAATCGCTCCGAATTGCTGTGATTTGGTTCAGTTCATGAAGCAGTCTTAAGAGCGTTGTTTTGGTTGAAATAGCACTGGAACGTGGGCATCTACTGTGCTCCAGCTGCAAACAGGCTTTTTATGTGGAGCAAGACTAGAGCCAGGTTGCAGTGAAGCACCTGAAAAATGTATGGGGTAGCTGTCAGAGCCTCACCACCAGTTTTGGTGTATAGATGATACCTTTTTCAACCACCCTATTTTCTAATGAAGGCATATTGTAGCAAATTATTTCTGTCTGAACATCTGCTTGTTACAATTTTATCAGCATGTCATAGCCGCGTTATTTGGTCTTGTCATTTGACATTCTGGAGGAATGTATTTCTCAGGTAATTTACAGCAAATTGATGTGGTTCACTTAGCACACGTTCATGTTCATCTTTGTTTTGCTCCTTCCCACCTGCCTGGATTCCTGCTACCCTTGCAAAGAATGTGGCACATGCACTCTGTTAAGAAAGGTTTCCTCTTATTTAACTCCTTATTTGGAAAATGTTAAGTTGATTTAATTTTGCATTCTTTCACAATGTCAAGCTTGATTTCTATACCTATTTATGAAAATAGCCTGGTTGAAAATGCCATGGCATAACTTTCACTTGTTTCATTCTTGCTAGCTGGGTTAGTAGGAGTAGAATGAGAGAAAAGAAGTCACTGCTCTGTTCAGATTTACAAACAAAACTAAGTCATGTAAGGGATAAGTCTTGGTTCCATGTTGCTGATACTTTTTTTCCTTGTATTACTGCATGTAATTTCCCTTTTTCGTTTGTTTTATGAAATGTTCTAAGCCTCGACATCTCACTCACATCATTAGTGGTGTGATCAGTCTTCATTTTCTGTTTATCCTAGAATTACATCATGTTGGAAATGAGCCATGCACTTTTTAGAAAATGTAGTGCAGGCAGAGTTTGTCTCAAATCTGTAGCTTTGCAATATGGTACAATTTAAATACACAGGAAAGGAAAATATTTCCCAAGTTATCTATGAAGGGTATTTAAGTCCGTTGTTCCATGAATTGATTTGTTTCTGCTGTTAGTTTAGGTCAGTTGCAGCTCCGCTGCGTTTTCCCCAGTGCTGTTTTCAGTAATTTTTTTTTTACCTTGGCTCATTCCTCTGCCTGTACTTGATGCCCTGGAAAGTCTAGTGTAACAATTCTGCAGTTCTTTGATGCTATTGATATTGTAATCTTCCAGGATTTAAAGCCAGGAACATAGCTACTCTTGTTTAATAAAGGCAAGTCAATCGTTCACTTCAGACTTATGTAGAATAGATTTAACTGCAGTTTAGGTGGGAATATCCAATGTGAGATGCATATTGGAAGGAATTAAAAATGGCACCTGCACACCCTGTCACCTCACTGGCTTGAAATTGCTACTGTCCCAGGTCCCTCAGTGTGTTTGTGTCGTACAGGGACTATTTGAAATAATTTTTCTAGAAGTTTACTTGCAATCATGGGATTTTTTTCATCTTTCTCTCTCCACATTTGCACATTCAAATGAAGTGATATATCATGATATATAATGACAATAAAGTAGTATGTGAATCTAGAGCACACTTCTGCATATTGACGAATAAATGAAAAAAATCAGGTTGACCAAACCTTCTAGACGGCTTCATCCTCGTGGTTATATCACTGTGGTGAATTTTGCAGCTATGTTGTTAACTAACAATATTCAGCTTATACAGCATTAGGGACCCCATCAGAAGATTTCAAAACTAATACAGAGGTCAGCAGAGCTGATCCATATACCTCCAGCCCTACTGTAGGGAGCTTCAATAGAATCAGTTACAGCTCTGGACTTCATCTCAGAAGATACAGGTTCTGTTCCTGGCTTTGCTGGCTTTATGGAAAGTCTCTTGATCTCCGAGTCCCATCGAAGTATCGGAAATAGTATTGCAGGCTTCGTTTTCAAGTAGCTTGGAGATAAGTAGATGAAAATGAATCTATAAGAAGCAGATTTGTTATTCACTTGGAAATTTGATTGCCTGACTGCTGAATTAGGTTCTCTGTGTTTTAACAGATTCTTGAATTTGATCATTGATCATATACATTGAGAGCAAAGGCTGTGTCTTGTTGAGCGAGCACATTTTGCAACAGTAGGGTTCTGAGAAATTAGCCTTGCAGAAGGGTGTAAGTAGTATCGCCTACTGAACTGCCATAGCAGAGCACCTCTGGATCTGTGCTGTCATCTCTTGTGAGGATGCCACTTCGTGTTCTTGGCCAGGCTGCAACAGGGCATCTTATTTACAGAGTTAGAGGCTCAAGTGAGGAAACAAGAATTGTAGGTCATTTGAAATATGGACAAGAATGGTGATTTCATTTGTGTCTGGGGAGAGATGGGCTTTGTCAAAGTCAGATAGTACAGGAGCTTGTAAAGAGCCAAGAATGATAAATATATATGAGGAAAATAATTACTGCAGATATTCACAATAGGTAATAAGAGCTATGATGATGATTTCAAGACCTCTAATCTTTTTTCAGCTCTCCCTGTGCTACGGCTGCCTAAATAGCTCAAGTGCCTCAAATAGTCAGCAGTTTTACTCTTGTGTGTTGACAGATTTTGTGTGCTTTGTGGTGGCAAAAGACAGGATAATTGAGAGTAATATGATTTTGGGCACATAAAAGCAAATAAGGTGTAATTCTTTTTCTGCATCAGTGAAGCTAAAAAATACAGCTTTTTCCATACAAACAGGGACACCTGCTTGCTGTTAACTACATCCCCAAAATAAACAAATAAAATTTGAAGGTTAACCTTTTATTTTTTTCAGTGAAAACCACTCGTACGAAAAAGACAATATTGATTATTTTAGAATACTGAATTAATTTTGGCTGGGTTTATAATGAAAGATGTTATTTATTTATATGTTTGCTTTTTTCGTTGTTGATTTATACAAATTGCATTCAGAAGAAATTCCTGAAAACGATTCTTAAGTAGTAACATAGCAATTTTCATGTTGGCTAAAGAGAGTGGCCCATCTATTTAATACCCTTCTTTCAAAGAATGATGAAAGTAGGTGTCTGTGAGATAGTTTATAGAAAAAAGGTTTCTTTCAAGTCCTCCTGTAAATAAAGGATGGTTTGTGACCAGGAAGAGAGATCTTGCTTCTAAAACTTCTGTTATAAAGGCATAATTCAGTGGAGTTCCTTGTGGACCGTATAGAGTAGCCTACAAAGGGACCTGTGTGAAGTGCAGAAGGATTAGTGATAATGGTTACAAGGTATTGGCAGCTGCTAGTACTTTTATCACAGGTACGTAGGCTAAGAGTAGATCTGTGTACTGCAAGAATGAACGTGCCAGCACTTGCTGACCTCTTCTGTATACTAAAGCTGGACTGGTTTAAGCTACTGTGGGAAAATTATGGGCAAAATAATCTTATTCAGGCAAGGATGATGTGGACACAGTTAGTTCATAGTGCAACCCCTATATAAAAAAGCAAAGAAAAGGAAGAAAAAGGTTTGTTAGTCTAAACTGCAGTTTTTGCCTTGAGCACAAGGCAGCTCAAGTTCAAATCCTTTTTTAAAATCAGAATTGCTGCAAATTGTCAAGGTCAAAATATACAGGAAAACTGATTATAACCATGCTTATGGCAGAATCTGAGTAAATTCCCAAGCTCAACTGAAAAAGATGGTTGTACCCAAGTTAATGATACACTTATGCTTTCTTTGTATTCACAGATGTAGATGAATGTCAGTATGGCAATCTCTGTACAAATGGACGTTGTGAAAATCTGGAGGGGTCTTTCAGGTGTATTTGTGGCCAAGGTTTCAAACTGTCTGCATCAGAGGATCAGTGTGAAGGTAGGAAAGAATATGATTAAAATTCATAATATTACCTTTTAGGTAATATTTTTCATCTAATAGCATTCCTTTTAATTGAGAAACAACAAAGGTACAACACTGAAGCTAAATAACCAAAAATGTAAGGATATGTATTTCCATTTTATGGCTTCCATGGTCACACTATAGATTTTGACATTTGTTATAAAGCCAGTCAAGAATGTGTAGTAATATTTATATTGCTAAATTGGAATTTCTGCAAAATCCTTGGCATTTCTGTCATTTTGGAGGTTTGGGGACAGTGGCTTTTGCTGCCTTAATTACTTTTCTTTCTATCTTTTTTTTTCCTTTCGTGTGGGTGAGTGGAATCAAGAAACCCAGGCTGCACCCTCTTGGAACCCAGCAGTGTCAGTTAACACTGAGCTGACGCCTGCACTGGTGTCACTGCATTTCAAGTAGTACATTTAGGGGGGGGAGAGAGAGTGAGTTTGGTGTCGTATTTCAAAGAACAGTACCTGTACCTCCAAAGTGTCAGGTTCTACATTTCTTCCACATCTAAAATTCCCAGCAGTACTGCTCCAGTGGAACAAAATTAGGTCTGAAGTCAGAGCGGAGTAGTCTGAGAGGGGACCTAGAGTGTGTACAGGGGGTATGAATATCCCTCTCCTTAGGGAGAGAGGACTGCTTGAAACCTCTCCCCAAAGGTGAAAATCTGGGAGAATGTCCGCAAGCTGTGGAAGCACACAGAAACCTGAACGTTTCTTGTCAGATGTTTTTTCTTCTTTTCCCTTCCCCCCCTTCTTCCCTAAGTGTCTGTGTGTAGCACCAAACACTTTCAGACTTCTGAGTGCTAAAAATAATACAGTAAAACTAAATGATCGTTCATGTAAATTTGTCAGGAAGCTTGAAACAAAACATCAGTGTAAGTTAAGTGTCTTGAGTGAGTTAAATGTGCTGTCCAGGATGCACAGCAGACTGGTCTTGGGGAAAGTATGTAGACTAAAGTTTGACTGCTTCCTCTGAGCCTTTCATGGAAAAGGGCCTTTGCCAAGCTGAGCTGGCATGTGCAGACTGTTCTTCTTAAAGTGCACCCTTCTGAAGTCAGGACCCGTACACGTGCCCAGATGCTTCATGCAGCCCCACAGATTTCGGTGATCCTTAAATTCAAAACTTCTGTGGTCGCAAGGGACCATTACTCAAGAGGTCAGACTACGTAGCCATAACACAGACCTGAAAAACCTCATTGAGTAACTTTCTCGTGTTTGAATTGGAGTATATTTTCAGAAAGACATTCAGCCGTGCCTAAATCCTAGAAGTGACTAAGAACCTACCATATCAATTTAATTACTGTTCCTTAACGAGTATTTTATAAATAAGGGAGGGAAAGCAGGTTTCCTAGCTCAAACAAGGCATGTGCTATGTTCTGAATTCAAAGTGCCACTCCCCTCTAATATTTTGAGTTTTTCGTAGGAAAATACAAGTTTGATGTTCAAATCCATCTGTTAACCCAGACTGACCCCAGTTTGAGAACAGAAGCGCTGAGGGATTAGCAGTGGTTGTGGAAGCAGAGAGACATTTCCCCATACTTAAAGGATTAATACTGTTACAAGGCAAATATTTAAATGAGCCTTAAGGTACAGCTTTATAGGGGAACAGCCTGCCAGTGTGCATCTGAAAACCACACCCTGTTAAAAGGTGGTGATCCTGCTGGAAAGTATTTTGTGGGTTTTGCTGACTCACTTGAGCAGCTGGCTTGTTACCTTTGCCAGATATAAAAGAAACAAAAGCGGCACTCAGGCAGCATGTGTGTGTATTTGTGTGTCTGCGTGTACCTGTTTGTGCATTGAGGGATACACTGACACTACAGGAGAGAATGCTGAATGCAGTCATCTCAAGGAAAACATCCAATCTGCAATTTCATATATTTTTATGCATTGTATTGACTGTCTGCATTTGTTAATAAATAAGACCAAGAGAAGCAGTACTGGATATTGACACTCCGCTTTGCTGTTTTGTTCAGAACTGGTTATTGCACCATTTGATTAATAATTGGTATTTTCAGATGTGTTATGTTTTCATTCTCTTCGCTACAGATATAGACGAATGCCAGCACCGATCACTCTGTACGAATGGACGCTGCAGGAACACAGAAGGATCTTTCAGATGTATTTGTAGCCAAGGCTATACATTATCATCTACTGGAGATCAGTGTGAAGGTAAACTTGTGGACTTAAGCTGCTGATTCATTTTTGTCAATAAGATCTTGAGTGTTTCAGCTATAGGCATGAACTCTTTTGAGAATGGGGCAGAAAGATATGTTGCTCCTCTTTCTTTCTCAATACTTTACTGTCAACCATTCAACAGTCCCCACCTACACAGCCACATATTTAATGGATTCTTAGAAATAGTCCCTGTCATCCTTCCACATACAAGAAATCAGCACATGTGTTTCCAACAGTAGGATTGGAAGAGCAGGAGACATTGTTACCAAAAACAATTAATCCTTTCCAAACCTTGTTGCTCAAATTCTGACACAGAGGTTCAGTATTACAAAAGCTTCTGCCAGCGTACACTGTTCACATGGGGGCCTGCTAAGTTAAAACTTCTTCTCCAGCTGGTTTTGGGAACCTGTAGCCAGCCACCACAATCCCACACGTGCACTGGCAGGAGAAAATATGTAGTATAAGATGAGCTCTAGGGGGATCTGCTGGAGCTCACAGCTTTCACTGTCTCCGAAGGCAGTCTACGTACTGAGCTTGTAAAAACAAAAATAAGAGGTGAAAGATGTACAGTAAATGTAGGGAGAAATGCTGTGTCATAGAAAACAGAAACATTCTATTATCTGTCAAATAGAACAATTTAATTGTCCAGTAATTGGCAAACAGATTTTTTTCTAATTAATTATTTCAAAGCTACTCCCTCTTCTCCATCGTTGGCTATACCACCTGATATGGTACATCTGCTGCACTACTCATGCTCACCTTGAGCATGTGAGATTACTTACTAGCGAGCTCCAGAGAAGATTGTACCTCAGTTGCTTCCTTATCTCACCCTCGGGGGGAAAAAAGTCTCAGTTAAGGTCTCACTGTACATGTGGTATTAGCACATAAGAACTTTCCACTTTCTGATGTGCTTTCTGTAGCTGCTGATACCAGGGAAGACACAGCTCCTTACTGCTGTTCTACCTAGTAGTGTTCTGCTGCTAGGTTATTCTCCACACAGCACTCTAGGAGGCAGTTCCCACCTTCTCACCCACAGCAATAGGTCAGGAATCCTCCTCTTCAAGTGATCCAGGCAGAAGAGCAGTTCCTCCTGAGCCAACCAAATATTGTCTTCTCAAGACAAACCTGTAATATCAGACCAGACTTCATCAGCAGCGATGATACTGGATTGTCCACATTTAATGAGTGACAGCATCTCTTGAAGTTCTCACCAACAAGGAATAAGGATATCTTATAAAATCTCCTCAGCACACTGATACTCTTTGGTACTGACCTGTTTGGAGAATCTGGTCATAGAATAACTTAACATGATCTTCTCAGAGTTCCTGGTGAATACCAGCATCACTTGCATCAGCTTCAAGAAATGTGGGCTGACGATGCAAGTTTTGAAACTCGTGTCAAAGAATTTCGCTCTCACCTGGCTTCAGGATCTTCATGAGTTGCAATAGATGCAGAGATATGGAGATACTGTGTCAAGAATCAAAGAAAAATGTGGTGGAAGGGATCACTGGTCCATTCCTCCTCCCGAAGGCAGAACAGACCATACGGTGTCATTCCTGACAGGTACTCATCTAACCTGCTCTGAGTAGATGAGATCCCAAACATCTCCTCAAGCAGCCTGTGCCAGTGCTTTGCTGTCCTTGTGTTAGACTTTCTTTTTTCCCAAATGTGTGATGGTAATCTTCTATTGCTGCAGTTTAGTTTATGAGTTCTTACCTTGTCCACCTTAAACAGGAAAAGGTTCTTTCTTTCCTCTGCATAGCAGAGAGGGAGATGGTGAGAAGAGTGGGATGCATAACCATTTCAAGCATTTTGGTTCCTTCAACAAGAAGCCTTACAATCCATCAAGTCTGCAGAGAGAGATTTTGAATTAGTAAATGCTGTTAGCGTGTGTGAGCATGTGAAATGGTGAGTTAAACCATCTTGTAGTGAAGAAGAGCAAATGAAATGCAGAAATTAATTTCAATCCATTGTAGCTGAGGACCAAATGTTTTCCAGAACTTCTCTTCAGCCTGCTTTGGTGCATTTCATACAGCACAAGAAGTCATGGTAACTGTTGCTGCCATCCATCACTATGCAATGGCCTGTCAGGACAGGTCCATGCTTTATCTTCATCTCTTCCTTAATCCTGTTCAAGGGCAATTTTCAAGAGAAAAATAATTTCAGAAGCTCTCAAAGCAAAAGAAGAGGAATTGGATCATACAAGGAAAAAGAGTAAAGCTGTTCCCTCACCTCAGATTCTTCGTCTCATTCCCAAGAGTCTGTAACCAAATGTACAGCTTCTCCACCCAGTGACAGAGCAGTTAATTTCTGTAGAGAGTTTGTTCACTGAAGATTTTCATAAATATTAAAAGTTCTGCACAAAATCTATTCATCTCTTGAAGTGGAAGAAATTCTTCTGTGCTTGCGTTATATCCTTTCAGTATTTTCTGAAGTACAGGATATTACAGACTGCTTTTAGCACCTTGGAAACTAAGTTTGAACAGACTGTTGTTGTTTTGCTGTCAGTAAGAACGCTTTGTGCAACTGCTTTATCTACATTCTCCTCTCTTGTTTTCCCTCACCTGGTGATGTAATTAGTTTTGAAGGCTCCTTGAATTATTCAGTGCACATTTAGGGAACTGAGTTGACTACAGGTTTAAATCTCACATTCTTTCCATATCAGCAGAGGTCCTCAGCCTCACAGCCACATTCCCATCTTCATCAAAATGGCGTTCCTCCTGACTGTTAGTTCAGCCAGATGTGTGCATGGACTAAGGGCAGAGCTTCCATAAAGGCAAAATTGCCATGAGAAGACATCCAATGTTTCTCTATGTGATGGCCTCTGATTTTCAAACTAGCCTATTTACCTGAATGTTTTCTAACACTTCACAGAGAAAGCAGGAAAGAGATGACAAAACACAGAGAAAGCAAGAAAGAGAAGACAAAAACTGTGGGTATAGCACAGCACAGTTGTGTGAAAAGAAGAGAGTGGTTCAAATTCTGGCCAGTTTCTCAAAGACTCAGGGATGGACATTTGTCAGAGGATACCCAAAAACGTATCAGGCTGTAAAGCCAATGTGGTTGGCAGATCACTTGCAAGAAATGTGCTTGTTTGTTTAATAAGGATTTCTGCTACTGCAGAAGTTTTCTTCAAAATGTAGCAGCTCAAGAAGCAGTTTGCTGGTTTGATCATTATACACTTGCGCAAACTTCTAGAGATATTGCAGAATTTGGCAGAGTTATGCTGTGCTCATTTTCAGCTGTGCTTTTTGCAGCTCTGGCAGAAGTTTTTGTCTGGAAGTCTTTGCACAGTATTTCACTTACTTAAGAAGAAAGGTAATTTGCAAATAATTGTTCTGTACATTGGTGTATACATGCTCTGTATGCATCCTTGCACTGAACTCGTCAGAAAATGAGAAAGCTGGACTGAGGCTTTCATACCCTCAGTTCTGTCTGAGAGCAATAATCCGTATATCCATTCATATTGTAAATGCTTGTATATCCTGTTATCCAAGGCTGAAGAACTTTTCCCTTCTGCAGTACCTGTAGAGACTTGCTATTATCTGCTTGGAAATTAGTAGCCTGGAAGCATGTGACCACCCACAGGTGGGCTTGTATGCACAACCTTCCACCTGAAGATAGAAAAAGAAGTTACTTTCTAGTAGTCAGAAGTCTTCAAGATGCATGACCACATGCATGTTTATTTTCTTTCTGCCTTACTCTCTCATTCAGCATCTCCTGTTCTTGAGATGAAGTGACACTGAGACTTTCTGCTCTGTGTTGCTCTGAATGTGAGGGAACACAAAATGTGAGCGCACCTATGGGTAAAAAGTATTGGCCTTGTCTCAACTGACAGGAAGTATGAATATGCACCAGCTGGACTTGCATATAGACTGTATGTCTCAAAGAACTCGGGTTACTGGAAAAGAGTCTGTCTGAAGCGTAGGAGGCTGCAGTGTTCTCCTAGGAGCCTTCAGAGATTTTGCCTGCCAAAATGCTCTAGACATGCACCTGTAAAAGGTGGTAAAAAGCACTGAACATCTCAAGCATGAGCTGCTGTCTCTGATTTTTCTGGAGATTCTTGTGCAGCAACTGTAGGACCTGTGAAGAGTTGCATCAGAGAAAAGGAGGTTTGCATCCTATACGGAAAATAATGCATTTTGACTGCATTTGGCAGAAGACGCCTTCTTGTTGTGCGACTTGGCATTAACTCAGCACAAGGGAGTTGTTAATTTTTTCTCATGCTCCTAGTCAAAATTAATTGCTGTTTTAAATAAACCACAATTTATTTCTCAGTTGAAAATGATTGTAAAACATGTGGTTATCAAAAGGTCACAGCTTTGTCAGCATTAAGTGCAGTTTTATCTGCAATAACATTCATTTATGTAAGAAAGCTATCCCTATTCCTTATTTTTATCAAATAGATTAAATCCCAAGGATAGCTGCACTCTGATATAGTGTGGGCTTTGCAGAAATAACTGTAGAAATGAGGTCGTATCCTCTTTTAATTACAATTGTTATTTATTCCTGCAACACAGGAAAAAGTTACAATTCTAATCAGCTAAAATCCATGCTTAAGAAGTCAGAATAATTAAAGGCAGTGGAAAAACTCTTTGGTAACTGTTTTTCAAAGGAAACTATCTGCATTATCAGAGCAATAGACTCAGTGAATTACAAGGTAGGGCAATGTAGAGGCAAGGGAAAGTTGCTTATGAGATGCTTCTTTTACTTGACCTTCTTATGTTCTGCTTCTTTTAAAACTAGAGGCAGAGTCATTAAATACTTTGTGATCTTTAGCTGTAGTGAAACAAAACTGTATAATATCGCTGGAATGTAGGCACTTGCTGAGTTAATCCTGTACCCGCAGCAGCTGTGCTCTGTTTCCTCTGGGGAAGAAAGGACTTTAGGTGGAGACCATGCCAGTGTCCTGTCCTTGAAATATTTGATTACTCTGTATCTAGTTGGTATCCTGAAACTTGCCCTGCTGTGTGTCAGTCAGCACGTTTATCCCATGGATGTCAAGACAGTAGGGCAGAGTCTACAGGCTTGGTGCTGGGAACGTCGTGTATAGGCAGCTGGGAGCTAGGCCCTGCGTGCCCTGACTCTGGAGCTGGATTTATGGCTTGGGTGCAGCACTGCGCAAAAGCAGCTATTCAGCTTCGTGACCAAGCTGCTAAGCCTGCAAAATGGCTGTACTGCATCACACGAACTGCCTCTGAAAAAGCAGCCGTTGGCACAGCAGTACGCACAGTGTGGTCCCTGTCCTACAAGCCTCCTGTCCACGTGGTTGTTTTGTGAGTAGTCTCCGCAGACACGTCTGGTCTGGCGTGGCACACCAGCTGTGCTTGGGCTTGCCCATACCCCGGGGGACGTCTGAGTCGGGTCACTTCCAGCTCAGGGATCTCTGTGTAGTGGTCTAAACATGTCCAAAGATGCATAGTGCAAACTACGAGTTTGCATTAGTAGGCATTTTTTGTGTCTGTCTTCTAAATGTACAGCTGCTGGGATTTCCTTGTTAATTGTACTCCTGTAACACCACAGTCACCATTAAAGTAGGGGGGAGATTGGTATAAAGGTCTGTCATGATAGCTTTCATTAGAGATGCAGATGGCACATATTAGACATGCTTGCTAAGAATAAATGACACAAACTCAAATGTTAAAGCTCTCTAGAAATACAAGAAGTTTGATGGTAAGATGAAAGGAAGTAAAAGGACATTCTACAGTCCAGTAAACTTCCCTCCCCCCCCCGCCCTGAGTTATTAAACGACATTGTAGCTTCAAGTTGCTACGTTAGTATCAAAGTATCGCTATTAAAAGTTTCATCAGTTTTTACATCATCTAATAATTCAGTTATGTTTTTATTTCAGATGTTGATGAATGCCTTCAAGACAGTGATATTTGCCTTGGAGGAAACTGCATGAATACTGACGGGTCTTACAAATGCACTTGTCCAGATGGTTTCCAGCACATAGCGAATAGGGGATGTCAAGGTACAAAACAGCTATAAAAAATACCTGGTTCATTATTATAAATGTGCAAGTTTGTAAGCATAGCTTGTGATAGTCACAGATCATGCTAAGGAAGAGAAGCTCGTTTTATTTACCGTTTGTAGTACTTTCTTACTCTTCTCATTTTATATTACTCTCTCTAAATATATGCTGAGAAATTATTTCCAGAGGCTGAAATCTCAGCCTTCATAACTTGAAAGATAATCTATATTAGAACTAACAGAGATACAGTGCTGCATATTCCCAAATCCTGGGCACATTTATCTTGACAGAACCCTCTATGTTTGTGAATCAGTAATGTAACAGAAAGAGCAGTATAGTTAGTGTCAAGTCACATTAGATAAACCTCTCTCACCTCTAAAACACTTGCAGTGCTTTGTGGAGGATGGGTGGGGAGAATGTGTTATCTGGGGCTGAGTCAGCATTGCCAAACCCAGAAAAATACTTCCTCGCTTTTAGTTTTGAACGATCCCAGCTCCATGTTGGCACAACACCCAGGCGTGCCTCACAACTCCCTTTTGCCATCCATTTTTATGAGACGAGAACCATGGTATTAGAGCTGGAAAGTGATAGCGTGTTCGTGCTCTAAATGACTGGAGAACCAGGAGACCGGACTTTGCTTTGGCTGCTTTCTTATGCACAGTTTAGACTTGAGCTGAAAGACTGTATTCCAGCTGATCTGTGTTGAAGATCTTGTGCAACCAACAGTAAATTCCCTGTAGAAGTTCTGAGTATTATATGTGACTGCTTTCTAATTCAGAAAACGTTGCATTCAACATAGGGAAGTACTGTATTAGACCTTGCTTTAGCAGATAAAAGAGAATTGATCACAAGCTATAAATCAATGCCAGCTTTGATACCACTCTATTCTCTTCACTCCACTGTGTAAAGTAGTAGTATATAGGCTTCATGTTTTAAATGGATAAATATAACAAAACTGAAAGCACTTATGAGCCAAGTAAGGGACAGACAGTATAGACAGTAATTTTAACAGAAAAATGTGAATGAAAATTGGAAATTATTTCAGGTAAGAGCGCCACACTTGAGAAGGAAGACCACCAACACTGAAAAATAACAACTTGCTGTAGAGGGGAGTGAAACTGCTTGAGAAATAGCCAGAGCAGTATCAAAACAAGTGGAAGAAAGGAGGAGTTGATATAATGAAAACTGACAAGTTAGAATAGCAAAGAACTAGACACAGAGAAAGAACATAAAGGGAGATCTTTGGCTAGCAGAATTAAGTATGGTTAGACTTCTTTTACTGTATTGACCACTTGTTGTTAAGCTGCTACAGGATGCAATAGTAGAATTTTTATTTGTCATAGATGGAAATCTCCAATGTATTTTCTTGTCCTGTATTTTGTACTGGACAAAACTAGCCATACTTATATCATAAATGATGACTTCTTTACATCTCAACAGTACCTTCAGAATATTTTAAGTAGCAAATAAACGGAGACATTTTTAAATGACTGAAAGTTAGTTCTATCAGAGTTCTGTAATAGCAAGAAAAAACATAAAAATTTTGAGAGAATTTACCTGGAGAGATTAGGGGCATGGTAGAAGATCCAGATAATAGGCCACTAGTGCAGAGTGATCTTGATCACATGGTATGCTGGGCATGAGCAACCAATATGCATTTCAGTATATCCAGTTATATATTGAAGAAGGAATCTCAGTCATGCTTGTAGAATAGTGGACTTCCTTCTGGGACGCAGTCACTGAGAAGGATTTAGGGGTCAGAGACAGTCAGCTGAATATGAGCTTCCAGTGCAACCCTGTGGCCAGTAGGACTAATGCACTCCCCGGAAGATTGAAAAAGCAGAATATCCAGCAGGAGTGAGCCAGGTTTGTTTACCTCTATTTTGCACTGATACAACTGCTATTGGCACATTGTTGTACACTGACATTCTGGTGCCCACAATTCAAAATGGACGCTGATCAGCTGAGGAGAATTCAGAGATGAACCCAAAAAAGCTGACAGCCTTGGGGAAAAAGGATTGAATGCTTTTAAACTGTTTATTTTGTTGAAAAAAATGAGGGGTGACTTGATCATAACCTTATTATCTTCGGAGGAAACCATAATTGAAAAGTAGAGAGCTATTGAATTAAACTGGCAAACTTATCACAGAACGCAGTGTCTGCAAGTTGAATCTGGCCTAGACTAGAAATTAGGAACATGCGTTTTGGTAAGGAGCGAAGTTGAAAAGAGTCCAAAACATTAGAAAGTGTGCAGTTTGCTCTTTCAGATTAATTATACTCTTATCTCCCTAAGATTGTTAATTTTGTTTTCCTGTCTTTTAATACATCATTCTACCTTGTGTAATCAGCTGTTTTGGTTTCCAGTATTTTTCTGGCAAAGAAACGTGACGCTTAGTCTTGAGAACAGTGTGCGTCCTAAGAAGGTACCGTATTGTCCTTGTCATTGCTGATCTCCCGCCTTGCCTGACTTTCAGAGAGCTTCAGGAAGTATGTCATTGGCCTGCATTTACTGTGAATTCAGAGAAGACTTGATACATGTAGGCCAATGGCATCCTGGCCTGTATCAGAAATAGTCTGGCCAGCGGGAGTAGGGAAGTGATCGTCCCCCTGTACTCAGCACTGGTGAGGCCGCACCTCGAATACTGTGTTCAGTTTTGGGCCCCTCACTACAAGAAGGACGTTGAGGTGCTGGAGCGTGTCCAGAGAAGGGCAACGAAGCTGGTGAAGGGGCTGGAGAACAAGTCTTATGAGGAGCGGCTGAGGGAGCTGGGGTTGTTTAGCCTGGAGAAAAGGAGGCTCAGGGGAGACCTCATCGCTCTCTACAACTACCTGAAAGGAGGCTGTAGCGAGGTGGGGGTCGGTCTCTTCTCCCAAGTAACTGGCGATAGGACGAGAGGAAATGGCCTCAAGTTGCGCCAGGGGAGGTTTAGACTGGATGTGAGGAAAAATTTCTTTACTGAAAGAGTGGTTAAACATTGGAACAGGCTGCCCGGGGAAGTGGTTGAGTCACCATCCCTGGAAGTATTTAAAAGACGCGTAGGTGTGGCACTTAGGGACATGGTTTAGTGGGCATGGTGGTGTTGGGTTGACGGTTGGATTCGATGATCTTAGAGGTCTTTTCCAACCTTAATGATTCTATGATTCGATGTAGGTGTTGTGTGAAGCCCAGCGCACTGACTTTTCCCCGTGCACCTCATACAGATACTACCCTTCCCCAAGCTGCCTCTGTTCTTTCCACATATGTGCCATGACTTCAGGAGACTGGCCTAGAAGGTTTACACACAGGATAGAATCAGTCTGTGTCTAAAGAAAATTCTATAATGGGTGTCATGGGTCTTGAAATAATGGTACTGAAATCATAATTTCTCTAGTCTATTAAAATTATTGTCTACTTCGATGCATTTTGTATGGTTGTAACAATGGCCAGAATCTAAGCAATGAAAGACATGGTTAAGAATAAGAAATTCTAGTATCTGTGATGACGGATGAATGAGCCGTGTGTAAGTTTTGTTTCTAAATCTGTGTTTGATCTCAGCATGGTATTGAAAACCTCTTAAAAGCAAAATACAGAAGTACAATTACAATGTGAATGGTAATTCATGTAAAAGTGGTACCTTCTTAATGAATGAATGCAGTCCTTAAGTTCTAATGGCAGGTTTTTTTGGTAAGATGAGACATCAATCAGAAAGAAATGCTTGTTTTTCAGATTCAAAAGTAAGTTTGAAAGGCCGCGTTTGAAAAATGCTTTCTAAGTTTAAAAAAAAAAAAAAGCTATGATGACAAACTCTTATATAGCAACCTTTTGGGACCATTCCCATTCCCCATTGGCAAAAAAGAGCATTTGGCTTTAAATTATGTAAAATCATCTTACTGGGAAGGATGCAACTCCAGACCTGCTGGTAACACGTGGAGCCAGATGCACAAGTTGACCAGCATGCAGCAATCAAGCAACAGTGAGATGGAGCCATCTGAGAATTCCCCTAGCGCAGAAGAAATGTTGGCTAGTATGGAGCTTATACTGACACCTCACAAATCACTCTCATCTGCTCATCCTCATCGCAGAGAGTGATATAGTGAGAGTATGATGCAGCAGAACATACTGATGCCTATACAGAGTTTAAGAACGATCCCAGAAAATTTGGTTACTCTGGAAAATGAGCCCTGTTTACATAGCTGTTTCCATAGCTGGTAGAAATAAAAGCTACTTTTAAGACAAATTGAACTTTGGCTTAATATTAAGGGTATGATGATTTGCAAAGCTGTTAATGTCTCTGTGTTTTCAGATATCAATGAGTGTGAGAGATCTGACCTCTGTTCACCTCACGGGGAGTGTCTAAACACGGATGGTTCCTACCAGTGCATATGTGAGCGGGGCTTTTCTGTGTCTGCAGATGGCCGAACATGTGAAGGTGAGACAAGTCACAATAATGCATTCCCATTGGTTTGCTGTTATTAGTTGGGCGAGAAAAGTAGTCAGTTTGGATCTGATACCCCAAAACCACTATTAACTCAGCAATCTGCCACCTAAGGGCCCTTTGTTCTTTTTTCTCGTAAATGCACGGGGTGCTGTGCTGCTGCTTGAATCCTAAGAAGTATAACAGGAAATTCACAAAATGGGCAACGTAATGGAGTTAATGTTTGTTACAAGCTGTGGTTTACTTTTCTTGATTTTTAATAATTTTGCTCTCTTAACATTGGATTATATTTTTTTGAGCAAAAGAAATCAGTGAAAAAGCAGGAATACTAACCTAACTATGGCAAACGATGGCAAAGGAGGGAATGATATTCTTATGTTAAGATATGTGAAACCAGTGGACATCTGTAATAGTATGAAAATCTATTCATAGATGGGAAATTATTTCTATCTTATAGCAAGGGTGGAAGGAATAAATATATATATAATGCACGTCAAGTGAGTTTGGAACTTAGGCTTCTGATAAGTTTCAGTGGGCAAGACCTTCCTGCCATAAATATTTAGGATTATTTAATTTAAAGCTTGTTAAGTGCGTTAGCAGCAAGCCTGAGCTGCCTGAATGTTCTCATTGCTGTGTGTAAGACAACAGAACCTTGCTTGTCAGACTTCTTTTTTAAAAAGATGCGGATGAAGCATCCATACAACAGCAGTAACTCCAGTAAGAAATTGTAGTAAAATGCTATCTATGGTAGAACCTCAGGCATTTTGAAATGGCAGAAATGGAGTAAATAGCAGTAATTAGATCTTTACAGTGCTAAAGCCAGCTTATTCTTCATAAGTGTATGCAGGTATGCTTATACAGGTATTTTTCAGATAAGGTTGTAAAAGCTGCTCCAGTAATAACACTGGTGAGAAACACCAGCCAGGAGCCTAGAATTTAGGTGTAACTAGGGTTTTCATTTGGTTATAACATGAGAATATATCCTGTTGCTAATGGAATGCACGCATGAGCAGCAGAGCTAGTGATGCTGCTCTCCTGCACTGGATTTAAAATAGACTTGTGCTCAATGATAGCAAGAAGATATGTGGCTTTGTGTAGTCAGTGATGCTGACAGAAAACAAAAATCCCCCTAACTGGATGAAGAATGGCTGTTCTTCTGGATGAGAGGACTGTTCAAGACAAGAAGCCTTGTGGGAAAAGTTCAGAAGGGGAAAAAAATTATATGGTGGTAGTTCGGCACGATGCATGCAGAGGAGAAGCACTGAGCAGGTGATAGCTCGGTGTTGAAACCTATGGGTGGTGGATCTCACGCATCCAAGGAGTAAGCAAGCTGTTCTCTAGCCCAAATTATAGGCCAGTAAATCCGTATGGGATCGGTTTTCGTGGGCCAGCTCTTCTCATAGTTCACTTAGGGATGGTGAAAAGGTGCTTCCTTCAGTGGAGGGAGGTGTATTAAAACTTCTGTCTGACTGTTGCATTTACTCCCCCTACTTTTACCAGAGGAAAAACAGCATTACAGCATTATTATTTGAGCTGGCATATAACCTGCCATATAGTTAGTAATATAATATCTAATGAAATGAAATACACTACTGGCAAGAATAGTTATGCTGATGTAAGGGAATAAGTGCTGTATATTTAGATACAACGACATCAAACACACTATTTGTGTTTTTTATTATTACTGATAATTAAAAAAAAATCCTGCAGTATTTTTGGTGCTTTTTCCTCTCTAAACATTTACCCTATTTTGTAATCATGGCATAAGTTGAAAGGAACATTCTCTTACTGCCAAGCCTGGTCAAGTAGGCTAGAGAGAGCGAATCTGAATAACTCCAGTGATTGATGGACAAGGCAGTATTTTGTGATTTCAAGTAATGGGGATAATTCCAAAGCATGTTCGTGGACTCTTTTGGCAGCATGTATACATTTCACCCAGTGTTTAGGAAGGATATGGTTAAATATCTTCAATTTCTGTGCAAGAAAAGTAGTAGCAGGTGTTTTGCCTCACTGTTGAGCATAGCTAGGAAAAAAAAAAGTGGTCAGAGAAGAATGCAGCCTGCTCTTAGAAACCAAACACTTTATTCCAAACCAACATTTATTAACCTTGTGAAATCAAACTCTCAGAAATTAAAAAAGGCAGAACTGAATAGAAACACAACTTTAAAAAAAAAAAAAAGTTGGTGGCATCTAATTTTAGGGGATGTACCAGAAACAATGAGCCCCTCTGTCTGGATCTCTGACAGTTAATAAAGTAGCACAGTTCCCAGGGAAGAGTTACCATCACATATGATGAAGTAGTACAAAGTTAATCTCCATTAGAACAAAAAAGCCAAACTTCTACTAAATAGAAAAAGATGAAATCACAAGATCTTACTTCCAGGATTGTGAGTAGTTTTGGAACTTTTTAATGAAGAATAAAACAACAAGTACAAAACCAGTTGAGCGTACTTCACAAGTAATTGGTGGTGTGTATGGAATACAGATCAGACTTTATATTCAGCACTTGGAAAAGTATTTTAATAACTTGGCGAAGCAAGGGTACTTCTAGTCTTCTGAAGCAACAGCACTCCTTTTCTACCACGATTAGTTTCTCCATTCTGTCATTTTAATAAAAACAATTCTAGAGTTGAAAACACTCATTTAAAGGGATGGTGTCAGTGTTAATATTTGTAGTGGTGTCAGCTTCATGCGAAAAAGCAAGACGAAACAAAAGGATCAGAAACAAAAGGAACGTGTGACATTCCAGGTACTGAGAAAGGATGTGGCTTCCAGCCGCAGAAGCTACTGTTCTTTACACTAGGTGCCTCTGTGAATTTACTTCTAGTTAAGTGAGTGAGAATAACTGTTTATACCATCAGAGAAAGAACCTGAGGAAATTTTGCTGGATTTAGACGCCTCTCTGTACCTGGGGAGCAGATTTTCCATATCTCCAGACTGTTTTTGTACGAGTTTGACTCGGTTTTTTTTAAAAGTCAGAAACAACAACAACATAAAACATTTAAGAACCCCATGCGGTTCAGTTCTGGTATGGAGTTTTTATGGCCGTTGGCCAAAGTAAACTGAACAGCTGTGGAGACTGTGTCTTCTTCCAAGGTGTAGACAAACTTTTGTTGTAGTGGTGACATTCCACTGCCGCCTGGCCCCAAGCTCAGCAATTTGGCTGCGCCAGGCTCTCTGAACAGGAGGCTCTCGGAGCGCTCCCTAGCTCCCCGTCAAGCTCTCTGGGGTTTCTGTAAAGGCAGTGTTTTACCCAGTTGGCTGCTAGTCAACTGTGTTGGCAAAACCTCAAGTTAGAGGTTCTCTGATGCTTAAGTCAACACCATGCCCCAAGCACCTCTTCTGTCTCCGTGTCCAATCCCTTATGTCTCTCAGTGGCTCCCTCGCTTTTCCCTCTCTCTGCTCCCAGCCCTGAGCTTCACTGCCTGCCTCAACAGGCACTCCAAAAAAACCTACACGTCCCACCAGAGCTCTCCAACCTCTGCCTCTTCCTTTCCCCTCACTTACTGTCTTGTATCCTGTTCTCCTTTCCTTGTCCACCCATCTAAGCCTTTGGATGCTTGCACGGAGCATCCACAGATCATTCTGCGATCAAAGAATAATTTACAAATCTGTACACAAAGATGCTACATTGTCCATCATTTAAGATGACTGTATACCTAAGAAGTCTGAAAATCAAGGAAACAAAGAGCCGAGCTGTGAACAGTGCAAAACTGTTACCTCTGCCACCAAAGACGTTTTAAGAGAGTAGATGTTTGCTGTAGCTGCACATCACAACCATAACTCTGCCCATGTAGGGAAGACAAGGCAGCTTAAGGAAAAGGGTAGGGTAAATCTAGGACACCTTTTGGGGCAGAGTATTATCTGTTACATGGAGTAAATTTTATGCAGTAGACAACTTCACGGCTTCACCAAATCTCTGGTTAAATACTGAAGAAAGCAAGCTCAGGCTTCTGCCAAACATAGATACAAGTATGCATCTCCAGGGTATACCCCTTCTTGTTCCACAGTGAGTTTCACAGACTTCACCAGCCTTCTCACATTTGCTGACAGAGATGTTTTAGGGCATCAACTACTTCTTACCTGGACGCTGGCTAGAGAAGTAAGAACACAAAGGTGAAAACAAGAATCTCTCTCTTACCCCATCATCGCAATGTTGGAATGACCATCCAGCATTACTGCCTTTAGATGGCCAAAGTCTTTATTCAAATATTCATTTTTCTGATTTTCTCATGACAGTGATTTTCATGTATGGGTGTTATGGGCAGCCCTGGAAGTCTCAGAATCAGAGCTCTGTTCCCCTAAGCACTGTGCAGAACTGTCCTAGGAAACAGTTCCTCTTCCAGACACTTTGCCATGTAAGTAGATTTCAGTGAGACTTAAATATCACGCCTGAGGTTAAGTATGCCTTCATCTTGTTCAGGTTGGCAGAAAACAGGAACACGGTGTTGAGCTGAATAGGAGTGCGCATGAGTGCACACATGTTTTGCCTTTCTTTAGATCCTGATGATGTTAGATCAAAGGAGTTTTGATTAAAGCAGGCAGCACAGAGTCATGGATCCTAAAACAGGTCGTAATTACAGAGAACTGCTTTAGTCACTGTATAGACATAGGATATACTAGTTTCATATTTAGTTTTTCCCCTTGCTTTGTCTCCATATAGCAAGAGAATCACCGATTACAAGCCTCATGCTTTACAGGGTGATTAAAGAAACAAATGCCCTTTCCGGCTGTAAAGCAGGAGTCCTCTGAGTGAGCTGTCTAGACAAGGAAAAATATGTGGTGCTTGGACCTTCTCTGTAATTTGCCATACACTGAAAGATCCAGTCATGTTCAGACTGTGTACTCTTTACAAACAAAACTGTCCTCTGTGGCTGTACTATGTACTAAATTAGGACACTTGCTACAATCACAAGTTTTGTTTCCGCAGCTTTTCAGTCAATGACCTTAGTTTACCTTTAGAGAACCAGCTGCACGATCCATTCGCCTATCTGTTTCCTTTAACATTTAGTTATTAAGTAAGAGAAATACTGTAATTTAGGTAATTCTAAAATCCCCAGTTGTAGTCTCGCTTTTAACAGAGTAACTGTCCTGTGGCTCAGGAACTTTTGTTATTAAACTATAGTTGGCCACTGAAAATAAAAAACGCTGCGTTATTGTCTGTTGTCTTAAATTCCTGGCTGTCAATCCACCATTGTTTACTCATTTTGAATTACCTTTCTTAACTTAACAGGATTTTCCAAATAAGAGAGAGAGTATTCAGATTTTTTGACCAGATATGTGAAACTCTGATGATCGTATGAGAATAAAAATTAAAATAAGATACGTTATGCAGGTATAATGCGCAGCAGCAAGAGGGAGGGACCACAAAAACACAAGCGTAAAGAATTTGTATCTTCTTTCTCCCAGTAACTCCATATGTATCTTTTTATAATTCTGTCATTATGGTGACTGGAAAAGGAAAGGATATCAAAGGTAATACTTGACCTTTCACCTTCAGCGGTGTATTTAATACAGATATATATTGCTCACTCTTACTGCTGAATTAATTCTACTAGGGAGAGCTTGTGGTAGATTTCAATAAGTTCAGTATGCAGAAACCACCCAAATACTCGTATTCAGTTCCTTGAGAATAAATATACTAGCTATTGTATTCTTTGCCAAATACAAATAACCCTTTCTAAGATAAATTCCTTCAATATTTTTCCTTTGCTTAATAAATCAAGCCATAAAGAGCGTTAAAGCCTTTACTGACAAAACCAACAAACCAAATAAATTATTCTGCCAGTTCCATCTGCAAGTACTTTTTTTTACAATTATCAATTATACTCATGTCTCGTAGATTTCAGTGTATGTAGTACATACAGTTTTTGCATGAATTCTGTGTTTTAGCTGAAGGTTGTTAACCAGTGGATCAGTTTAGTAGGAGAAGAGGTAAGTTTTCCATCACTTAAACATCCTAAAGTGAAATTAGATGCCTTTCTGAAAAAGATGTTAGAATCCACAACTTACAAAATTTGCCAGAGACAGCTTTTTAACCTATTTAAGAGGTCAGGCTACATGATGTGGATAGTCTCTTCTGGCCTTAAAAATCTATATACAGTCCTAGACCTGTTCAAACCCCAGCCACAGCAAAGAGGAAAAGACCTCCAAAAAGCCTCTCCCTGAGGCAGACAGAAGCATGCGTGGATGAATTTGGGCACTTGGGGAGCGAGAGGGCTGCACAACAGGTAACCTGTTAGGGAATGTGTGAATGGTGTGCTGCTCAAATCTGGGTAGCTTGGGGAGCTGTGACCATGTGGTTCAAAGACCAAGAATTCCTGTTCAGCTGAGTGTAAGACACAATTTAAAAGTAAAAATGTCCTTGCTCGGCGAGCACTGTCACGAGAAGAATGAGGTGCATCTTTGCTGACTTTTCTAGACCTTTGTTTGACACAGCTGTGAACAGCTGGAGGAGTAGACAGGACTGTGTTTGAGCCCTACTCTCCTTTCAGAAAGACACCAAGCAGCAGCGCTGCTCACCTGTTCAAAGCAGCCCCCTCTCTGTGGCAATGCAGGATTCAGTCCTGCCAGCCCTTTAGTTCGGTGAGTGCCCTAAGGCCTTCACTGGAGGTAGAATAATGGTAGGATCCATCACATGAAGGTCTACTCTAATGTGCAGAATTAATGATAGTAGCTAGCACCCAGCTAAATCAAAAGCGATTCACTTTATTCACCATTTAAAATGTAATTTCCCCTGAGGCACAGTGCAGAAGTAACTCCAAGCGGACAGCAACCTTACTTCACAGTCATAATGGTTTCTAGGAAAGAAGTATAGCAATAATTTCTCTGCTTCAAACTGCAGAGGAATTTAGAAGGCAGAAGGTACTAATCCTAGCATCCTGGTAGGTTCTCAGTTTCAGTTAATGTTCTTCCTCCTGAAAAACACACCATACATCTTTAATGACCACAGATGGTCAGGGCCTTGGGTTTAGGTCTTATGTTGAGTGAAGATAAAAACAATACATTCCTAGCACTTGTAATACACTTACAGAAAGAAACCACGTTCTGCCACAAGTGGCTCTGCTTCGTTATAGGCTGATGGGCAGCAGAGTCAGAGACTTACTCATGCAAGTGACTCTTACTTGTAAGGCCAGCAAACCACAAATGGGAACTACAAATGAAAGGGCAAGTACAGAAAGCAATTAGTAATTAGTTCGCCTACCTGAGTAAGATTATTCATATGTGTAACTTTACAGGATTACAGCCAAAAGGCTCAGTCCACAGATATTTACCACTTACACATACGCCATGAAATTATTTTCTGTGCCGAGAGCCAGAATGAGATCTGTGCAGCACTTCCGCCCAATGGATGCAACCATACCCTTGAACTCTTTTTGTAGGCACAGTGGGTTCAGATTCACACACGTTGTTGACTGTATAATGCCACACTGGCAGAATCTGCAAGCCAGTCAGCGAGATGGTCATGTTTAAACTATGTCTTACTCTGTGGTATGTAGCATCATGCCATGATTGGCAGGTTTGGTGAAACAGATGGGAGACAGTTGACTAAACCTGTTGTCTGACAGAAGATATTCCCTGTGAAGCTAACACTGAAACAATTTCTTAAATTGTACGTGTGCTTACATTAAAATTTTGTGTCTTGTCCTTAGTGTTTTCCTTCCCAATGTATAGAGGGACATCCTTGCATCTGTTTGCAAAAAAGGCCTGTCTGTCGTTTTTCTGCAGTCTTCATGAACGTCTGCCTTTGATTGTCACACGGCCTGTCTGATGTTAAAATTCTTCCTTGCAGATGTTGATGAATGTGCGAATGGCACAATATGTGGCAGTCATGGGTTCTGTGAAAATATGGATGGCTCCTACCGCTGCCTCTGTTACCAAGGGTATCAGGACCCACAGGATGGGCAAGGGTGTACAGGTGAGTTCTTAGGCGCAAGTACTCATTCCTGCAAGGTTCTAGTGAGCAAAAAGCGGCATATGAGCAAAATGCGTTTCTTCACAAGAACATTTTTGTTTTCCGTCATTTTCTGTTAAAGTTGTACCACTTACTAGTAAAATACGGTTGAGCTGTGCTTTACTCACTGAACTTTGTGCCAGATGGAAACTTAACTGTGTATCCATTTAATGAGAACCTGTTATTAGGATTGAATGGAAACCAACAGCAAATAAGCTGAGCCACTCATTTTCTCTCTTCAAAAAAAAAAAAAACCACCAAGAAAACACTATTTTTGCACGTCAGGACCATTCACAAATATAAATCATAATAGATTGCATTTAATACTTTAGCCTATTTAAATGCAACATCTGTTTAGTCTCTTAGCTGAATAACCAGAACTCTGTACTACCCCCTACAGGAAATAACGTCTGGCATGTGGTACAGCCAGTCTGAATTAGATGGCACACCTCCCTAGGCACATCATATTTGAACAGTTTTTAACATTGGCTTTGAGCTCCAGGAAAGACACCTATCACCATGAAAAGATGTGGGATTTCTGTAGGTGTGTAAATACTGCACTTTTCTCTTGTGAGTATTAGGTTTCCAGATCTGCTGTTCATAGCGATGGTTGGACCTGAGATCCATCTGAGGCAGCACAAGTTTCTAACATAAAATTAATACCAGATCAAGGAAAGGTATTCATTAAGCAATTTCTTCAAGCCAGACTCAGGATGAAACACACTTACCAGGAACAGAGACCTGAACAGAATACTGAACAGAGAGGAGGAGTTAGAAGTTTTACAGAAGTGTTTGTATGTGTTTTCTAATATATTAAATAGTTTTACTACAAAATTCTTTATGCCATTTGGCACTTAGTTTACAACATACCAATGTATATTTTTGCATACAGTGACTTTTCACGGATGAAAACAAATGAAGCAAAGAAGGGTGGGGGGAGAGGGGAAGAAAGCAAAAGCTGGTGTGAAACTAAATTTAATTTTGAGTTGCCAGTGAAGTGATTCTGCACCATAAAATAATGTCTTAGGTTTTTTTCTTGTAAACAGTATATAATATAAAATACTTTATAAATTTTTATGCCAGTTATCTACCAAAGCAATTTTAGGAAAAGGTAAGTCTCTTTAGCTCCTGGCCAGGCAACATTCCTCAAAGACGACTTATTCCTTGTGACAGGAATCCAGCAAAAAGATAAAGAAAAATCTAAGTAAAAGTGCTGAGCAAACCGCAAGTTAAAATGCATATTTATATAAAAATACTCCAAAATCAACATTCAGTCATATGACTAGGTTTTCATTCTTGGTGGATAAGAGGTAAAAAGGATAGAACGTTGCCCCACAAGTTATACTTTAGACCACACTCAGTTACAGAAATTTCTGAATTGTGATACACAAATTGTAATTTTCAGATTCTGTCATTAGTAGACAAAGTAGATTTTCAAAAGTAAACTTTAGCAACTGAAAAGAGAGTAAAGTTAAGTGATCCCGACGGTATTTGGTAACCCTTGTTTAAACAGCAGACAACTCTCCCATCGATCAAAGAAGCATTTCAGGGTAGACTAGTTAGCGGGTATGTGGAATCCAAGTTAAAAATACGTGGGGTTTTCTGGGGAGAGGAAATTTGCAGTGTTTTGCAGGGGTTCCCTGGGTGACCTGGGCATAACCCTTGTGGGTTCCAGAGCGGCCTGTGAGACTGTGCATACAAGAGGTGGCGCTGGGGCTGGGGAATTCACTGTTCAGTGGATGTTCACGAGGAAAATGGGATTTTGAGGAGAAAAGAGACTTCTCTTTTCATAGTGCAGTCTGAATCACACCGAAACCTATTCATTTTGCTCCTTGAATTCAGTGGAAGTCTGATAATAAAGAAAGTTAAGAAAACAAATGAAATGAGTCTGAATCTTAAATCCCAAGAAAAGGGTACAAAGAAAAGCAAGTATTTAAAAATGAGAAAGAACCCCAAAAAAACCTGAAAAAAATGAAAGCCAGAGTTCCAGTCTCCAAGCAGCATCTAATCAGCACCAATAGTCTATGAACTAAAGCCAACTACTGTGGCTTTCAGGGGCCTTTTTTTCAAAGGACCGATTACTTGTTTATGAATCCACTTAGGTATTAGTGAGGTTTTAATCCTTCCCCAGAGATCACATCTGTAATCTGGCAGACAATATTGGCACAGGTACAGCAGATAAAAGAACAAACTGTCAGTAGTGGGTCTGAATTGATTTATGTTTTGGATTTTTTGCCCAGATGTGAATGAATGTGAAATGCTGAGTGGAGTATGTGGCGAAGCCCTCTGTGAAAATGTTGATGGTTCTTTCCTGTGCCTGTGCTCTGATGAAAACCAGGAGTATGATCCGATGACCGGACAGTGTCGCTTCCGTACCTCACCAGGTAAAACGCCAGTGGATTTTTGCATGCTTGGCATGATTTCCACTGCATATGTAACCAAGGAAAAAGTAAAGTTGGTTTAAATGCTGGTGTTGCTTTAACTACAACAGAAAAATTTAAAACTTTGTCATCTTGAAAGCGTGTGCGTGAGAAGAGGTGTTTCTAGGATGGAATATCTTATCAGTGAATCATTAGCAGTGAAAACATAGCAGAAACACCTTCTAAATTTTATATGTCAACAGACTTGGCAGTAATAATGAACAGTTACAGCAGTTAAGAGTAAACAATCTCTTGTTCGCTGTACTGTAACAATGAAATGTGATACGGAATCAAGTCTGTGGCTTGAGTGATTTTATTTTTTGTTCAAATTTTTACAAACACCCACCAATATGCTTGGACAATGTTTAAGGGAGCATATGATTAAAAACAAAATTTGTATATAGCAGTATCCTCTTGCATTATCTAGCACTAACATAAGTCCTCAGAAAAGGTAGTTGGGAAAGCAAAAAGCCAAAACGCTGAATTGTTGTCAGTCTCTTTGAGTGCCCGTCTGAGTGCCCTTGCCTGTTTTACTCCATCTTTTGTCCTGTTTTTCCTAGTAGTCCATTGTACTGGATTTGTGAGCTTCTGTTATCAGGTGTTTCGGGTGTTGCAAATATTACTGGAAATACACTCATTAAAAATGAGTTTAGGACTCTCAAAGTTGCCTCCACATTTCTACACTGATCCAGTTTGGAGAAAGGAACAAGCCCACAATAAGGAGCAACAGAGTACAAGAAATTAAGGGATTTACTTGCACAGCTTTTTTTTTCCCCTCCAGAATGCAAATCTTGGTATTTTTCTTATTTTGTTCTTACGCTGCAGGCTGATCTAGCTTCCGGAAAGCTTTAGAATAACTGGCTGTAGTGCCAGGATACAGACTCTACAGCTTACAAGGCTGTGGCTGTTTTCTCCTGTTACTCATGGTCTTTCAGACTTGTAAACAAGGTTGAAATATCTGTGATCTAATTGCAACAAGTATTTAGATCACTGAATGTAGCACTCACCAGCACTCAAGAATTTGCCTGTGAAATACATTAACAGCTGATTGACAAACTGAAACCTTTGCAAAATCTTGTGAGAATGATTCAGGCTTACAGGAGCTTGTTTTATAAAGAAGGAATGAAAAAAAGTAAGATGGCTGAGGCCTCCATTCCTGTTTGCAAGGAAAAATACCACAGTACCTTTCCACCATGAAGCAGATTAGCTTAAATACCCACTGATGATAACTGAAGTAGCAACATTTAAAATTCTTCCATGAACTTATGGAAGAAGAGTGTTTAAATTATATTATCAAGATTTGCAGATGTGAATGCCATCTTCGTTTTGGTACTGTGAGGAGGTAGTACTTGAGAGAAGTCAGCTACTTGTCGAAGCAAAACCAAAGCTAAAGAAATTAGCAGAGGACCTGAGCCCATGTAAAAAGAAGTCAAGTCCAAGGAGCATTCAAGGACATACCCAAACATTACTGTGGGGAGGGAGAGGATGAAAAACCCAGTTGGCTGACTGTACTGTCAACAGATGAATAACTCTACTGTCAGTACTAACTCCATTTTGTTGTCACCAGTGAACATAGCTTTACTGTGATCAGTTTGGAAAGAAGCCGTTCTTCCTTCCCCTCCAGCCTTCATCAGGCCCTAACAAAACATGTGCTTCAGCTTTGACTCTTCTCTGATAAGGTCATCAAGGAGGAAGATCTCACGCAGGAGACTGGATTAGGACCCAGTGAGATGTACTTTACACCATGTGCTCTTGAACTAGAATAAGGAAAAATGGCAGTACTAGGAACAGAGATCTTGCTATTTATTCTCTTAGTTTTCTTCCAAAGTAAAGGGAGGAAAGTACTGTTGTTAGTTCTTCTTAAAAAGGATTCTTGCTTTCCTGTACATCCTGCAGCCTTGCTGTTTTTTTTGGTTTTTTTCTTTTATCAGCTGGCTTCTGTTTCTCCAGACCTCAGAGACTGACCAGTCAAGTATTGACCAGTCAAGTAATGACACTGCCCCATGTACCTCTGGATTTGACATTTCAGGAGCTGACAATACACACTTCATTCTTCCACATCTGCTCACTTTGCTTATTCCTATTTTGTTCTGGGAACCAATGGGTGGCCCTCGTGCAGCTGTCAGCTCAAGAGGGAACAAAACCAGTCTTTTCTTCCCCATTTGGAAGTGGCATAAGCCCCATGTGCTTACGGCAGAATGAGCAAATAACAGTTATGTTGGTTTGCCCAACAATGAGTACTTCAGCCTCCCCTGAGACCAGCTGCAGCATGATCATATAGGAACAGCATGCTGTCTCCCTGCGAAGAGCGATGGCATAGCTGCACATCCTCTGGCTTTGACAAGCCACATACTCGAGTCAGGCATGCTGAGAGCTTTGAGAGCTCCTATGGTGCATGTGGACATCATCTGTCAGCATTAGCTTGCATCACGCCTATTTTTAGAAAGGAGGAATTTAGTCTGCATTATCCTGTTGCACATATCTATAGTTGTGTGGTTTACTCAGCTTTTGCTTATTTCTCATTTTGTACTTCTGTGCATGAAGAAATGTTCGTCCACCTCTTATCAAGTGGAAATAGGTGAAGATTGTTCAAATGTTACTTTAATTTGGGAACTTTTTTGCATGTGGTTAAAGGCTGTTAGCTTCATGGAATGGGGTGTGTTCACACTTTTCTTTACTTGCCATTAGGGCTCTCGAGATTTCCTTCTATTTAGATTTCACTTGGTGGACATTCATCTATTGTTAGCTGTGTCCTGAAACGATCCTCTCAGTGTATGTATTGGGAATTCTAGCCCATATTGTCACGTTCCAGTAACAAACCAAAAAAAGTAATTGTGCAAGGTTTGATTGTCTTATTCCCCTCCTCTCTGCCCTGCCGTTCACAAAATGTAGCAAATGCTTCAGAAGGAAGAAAAGATAAAGGAGGAAAGAACTCTCTCTTGTATTAGATGAAACTTGGCTGTTATACATCTTTGTACCTAAGAGAGGAAAAAAATGCCTGGTTTGGGTTAAAGTCTTCTCATTTATTCTTTTAACAAGATATATAAAGCCATTTATGATTGATTTCTAGCAAGTACCAAGCTGAATGCAGTTTGAGTAATAATCCGTATTAACATGGTTTCAATTGTTTCTACATAAGAAAAAATTTGAGGCTGCCAAGTAACATTTTATAAATCTGATCCGAAAGCTTCCTGAAGGCTAGAAATTTGGTGCCTGAGTACAAATTCTAAATTTCCTAAACTTTAAGGGCTTTCTAGATGTTAAGACTTTAAAGGAAACTCTTCATATTTGTATTATTTTTTTAATGGCAATATGTGCATGGGTTTTCTAAGGCAAATAACGATCTGAATTTCAGTCATCTATGAACATAGTCTTAGATATCATTTTTAAATGTGCATCACTTGCCCTAAGCCCTGAATTGTACATATGCATGTATATGCATGTACACTGCTCACACACACATTAGGTGTTGTAGCTTGCCACATGTGGAGCCAACTGAGAAATCTAAACAAGTACACCCTGACAATAGGCACGTAGCAATCTATTTTTACTGTCTTTTTGAAAATCAGGTTCTGAAAGTGTGTGTTACTCAAGCTGTTTGCTCAGTCACCGGAGTCTTTGCTGAGGTTTTAGAAGTCGTGAACTTGTAATGATGATTTTTCTCTTTAGCAACCACCTTACTGATTCCACCTGTGAATAAGAGGCGTCAGTACACAGTTGCAGTATTTAAGATTCCATCAGTTCTATACGTTTTGTTTTTTTCAGATCATAGTTATTAACAGGCCACTATTTAGGCAAATATTTAAGTGTATGCTGAAGTCTAAGCATGTGTTAATATCCTGATTACCCACTGAATCCTGTATCACTAATGCACATCTTTGCATCAAACACATGCTGAAGCATATCGTTGGATCAAGGTTTCGCTAAGGTATATAAATCTATTTCTAATAAATACTTCAGAGTTCAATCGAGCAGCAACTATACAGAATCTCTCTATAGGCTGTTAATAGAACAGTCATATCAACGAACTGATAAAATTACGTTCCTTTACCAGCATGCCTTTGGCAGAGACACATTTTACATTTTCTAACAACAAAAAACCTGAAATAACAATGATACAAAAAATGTATCCATTTCCTATCGTATTTTGTCAACATACCTAGTGAAACCACTTTCAAAAACAACCTGTTTATGAAATGGTTAATAATGTATGAGAGAGAAATTACAAGCTTGTAGACACAGACTGGGTCTTGGTTTAGAGAGAAAAAAAAAAATAATAAAAGATTTGTGTCTCATTTGCTTTCCAAACATTCATGACGCCTGCTTGACTAACCCTCAGTCACAGCTGTGTAAACAACAGACTTTTAAGCTGCTGAACAGATAATGGGAGGAGAAACCAACACATCATATGTAAAATGGGAATAAACAATGACATGATGAGATTGTCTCCCCTTCCTCCCGAGGCAACTTCTGGTGTTCTTTCTCTGGTAAACAGCGTGAAAACTGCCATGCTTTTTCTCCTGTTGAAGATTTGGCTTTGATTCGGTTAGACAGATGGCAAACGGCCAAGGAAAATGTATAATTTGTAGCTAAAGTACTGGGCTCTCACCTTGGAACAACAGATTTAGTTCAGTTGCATTTCTGTGACACATGATAGTCTTAACGTAGTTCCTATTGGATAGCAGCTGATACCACAAAACCACCGCACTTTATGAAATTCAGCACATTATGGAAAATTGTAATTATCTGATGAGGGGAGACCACAGGCTAAACTAACAAAGATGAAATAAGCACTCAGTTGGGTGTTTCCTTTAGTGTACAACTTAGTTATATTGGCGAAACAGCAAAGGAAAGTTTGCCTTGTAGGTGGCAACATTGTACTAAATTTGAATAGAGGTGTCTGCCAGCCCCTCAACCTCCGAAAACAGAAACAGTCACTTTTCTGAGGAAAATAGAAATAAATCCAATTGTCTGTTTGGAATTAGAAGCCAAAAGAACTATTACGCACGTTCATACTATTGAAGTGCAATAACAGGCAATCCATACTGGCATTTTTAAACCTGCTTTTCTCAAAACCAGTCTAATATTTGCATGTTCGGTAAAACTGCCTTGCCCCACTGCTTGGGGGAATGTGGGTGGGCAGGCATAACAGGCTTGAGGTAACAAGAGCTGGAGTTCATTGAATTCCTTCAGCATTTGTTGGACAATCACGATCTTCAAGCTCCCACCTCACAGCCATTATTTTTTAAGTGGATGGGATTAGAAGAAAATGCATCCTATAATTGACATAAACAGGCTGAGCTTGACCTCCAAGAGACAACCAGAGGCGGGCAGATGAGGTGGTCAAGTGAACTTGGCTCTCCCAGGTATGCCAATACTTGCAAGTGGGCCAGCCTTAAACTCTTTCTTGAAAAAAGCTACAAGGCAAACAAAGGTAGTTTATACACCACAACTCTTTGGGTCTTACTAGTTTTCTAGCATTATGAAATGCACTGTCACTCAGGAATAAAATAAGGTTTTGATTCCCGCCTGGATACATGCGTTACCTGAGAAATGTCTCCTGTTTGCTATATTGTGCAAGAGCCCGAGTAGAAATGAATGAAATCTCAAACAATGGAAAAATCAGCCAACATGCAATAATTTTTAGTAGGTTTTTGTGAATCAGACATTTGTTAAGTGCTAAGCATAAAGAATTTCCCAAGATAAAAAGGAAATAAACTAGTCACCTCAAGATTTATCTATCTTAAGTTCCTGAACAAAGTTTTGGTTTTGATTAATATATGTGAGTATTTGTAATTTTAGAACTCGGTTACCTTATGGACAGCCTATGAAAAGTTTGTCGTATTGATCAAGTGTGAATAAAAATTTTATGTGATAGTTCCCACTTCTGAGCTCTTGATGAGAATTTTTGTGGAAATGCAAGGTCAAATAGACAGAGGTCTGCAATCATAGGTATTTCTTTTCAAACTCGCTTCTTGGTGTGCTGTAGGAATATTGCTTTAGAAAGGTCTTTGTCTATTAATAGGGTTTTTTATTGGATCTGTGGGAGACACTATTTCGCCTCCAGTGCCTATAAATATGGTGAGAGGACCCACTCAACTGCTAAAGGCAGAAAATCTGACTTCTTGGCTGGATGTCTATTTTAAAGTATAAGCCTATTTTAAAGTAAAGCCCAGAGTCAGTTAACTTGACATCTGCATCATATTCCTCTGCTTACTGTGGAGTCAGTTTGTTCCTTTTGCAAAAATCATAAAGGGCCTTGTTTTCAAGTGTGGAACATGCTTTTTAATTTTCCCAGTCAAATTAAAAGGGGCTGGAAATGTTCATTCTTTTGAAAATCGGGCCTTTTCAGTTTGTGCCTTAGCTCCTTTATCTGTAAAATTAGGTTGTAATGTTTGCTTACCTCTGCGAAGAGCTTCAAGATTCATACATGAAAAGCACTATGTCAGTAGTTGGGCACGGTAGTTAGATAGTTGAGCATGAGAGCAGGTAGTTCATGCATTGCTTAAAAATGAAAGAAGTAGAAACGTGAAGAATCCCTTTGAGGCCAAGTTGGAGAACAGGTCTGAAAAAGTCAAAGGAAGGTTATAAACTTCCATAATTCTTCCTAAGAACAAAAAAGTTAAACCAAAATTTGTACTTAACCATTTTCTTCCCCGCCTGACAATGCTGCTCTAGACTGTGGTGAAACTGAGGTACTGTGGCTCTCCCGACTCTCCCATAAAACTGATTCATTTCACATGTCATCTTCCATGCTTTGTTTTCTTTTTGCCTTTAGAATTACCAGTAGAGGCTGATCAACATGAAGATGGAAAGAAGGAGTGCTACTACAATCTGAACGATGCTAATTTCTGTGACAATGTGCTTACATCCAATGTAACCAAACAAGAATGCTGCTGTACCTTGGGTGCTGGCTGGGGTGACAACTGTGAAATCTTCCCATGCCCTGTCTTTGGAACTGGTAAGAGGAGGCCTTCTGTCCCTTTGCACACTCTCAAAGCGTTGTGTTTATGTTAACAGTAATCTGCTTTGCCTTCAGAGAAGGCTTGCCCACTAAATCCCTTATTCTGTAGTGTTTAGTCATGACTTATCCATGGGAGACTTCCACGGAGGAAAAGTTAATAGGAATAATTCATACCTGGTGTAAATCCATTGGCTTCACTGCAGTTACCCTAGGGATAAAAACAGCCTGTTACTGAACAGCATTATCTCCAACTGATTTTAAACAAAGATGGATTCTCACAGAAGCTTTTTCCAGATGCTATGGTAACATGTTAGATTTTTCCCACAAGCAGGAAAACAAAGGTAAGCGTTACAGTGTTTTTGAGTCTGCAGCTATTCTTTGTAATGTTGTTTCCACAGCACTATGAATTACTGATATATATTATGACGTTATTTTCACATTTTGTTACTGAACAATTCAGTAAATCATGTTGTCTGCAGACCATTGTTTAACCTCTAAATATTAAATTAGAAAAACATAGCCGTATGATATTTGTCACAAATATTGAAAACAGCACTTGAAACATAAACAGTGATGGCTGAAATTCAGAATCCAGCTGGAAAATAATCACGTAAGAGAGAACATGTGTAAACTTTTTGAGATTAAATGCTAAAGATTACTTTTCACACAAATGTATCATCATGTTTAATTCCTGTTTTAACTGTACTTTAGAATTGGTGAAACTGAAACGAAATGCGTTACGAAAAGAGCCTCTCTACTTGGATAGATTTATTTGATTCTGTATCGTCTCTGAGACACTTTAAATAATTTCCCTCTGTAATCCACACCGTGTTCTCCTGTTGCAGTCAATTACTGTTTTTCCTGCATAAGGACTGCAGAATGTGGACGGGGTTTGTATCTCGGTTGGGGTATGTCTAGATTGCAGCTTGCAGTATAGCTCAGAGAGGCCCACGCTAGCTTTAATTAAGATAATTTGGCTACTGGTATTGTGGTAACTGCAGTGCACCATGAAACCCAGTAAGGACTACATTTTCCTGCCAAGGAGCAAGAGAAATTAGTTTGCGTGGAGCTCTGTCATGCTGTGGGTGCCCTAGCTAGGTTTTTCAAAGCCAGCGCTACAAACTGAGAGCAGGGGAAAGTCTGGCTTGTAGCATTAGCATCCCCCATTTAGCAAAAGGTGTGCATGACTGCCTGATAGATGTGAATAAGGCAAAATGTTGCCTCAGATTTCTCAAAATACCCTGAAACACATATGTAACACGTACATATGTGAGTAACTTTTTCTTAACAACACAATTTTTTGTTTTCTCTTTCTCCTAGCTGAATTTACTGATTTGTGTCCTGAAGGAAAAGGTTTCATTCCCTCTGGAGAATCATCTTACGGGCTTCTTGCTCAGAATTACAAAGGTCAGTACTGACTTGTATGAAGTTTATTTCAGAAGTTCTCGTAGTTGACTGACTAGAAATGTGAGCTAGCAATGTAAACATTCTAATTCAAATTTTATTAGGTGACAAAAACAGGTTGTGATATGAAACGTTACTGAAAATCATCGTTTGACAGATTGTTAAGAATGTCAGTTATACGGTCTCTGTGATAGTCTGGTTGAATTTATACTAAGTGCTATAAGTGAGAGTAGGTACTGAGACCACAAACCTCAAATACTCATTTACATATGAAATACAAAGCCACCTTAAATTTGTAAATAAATGTATGGGGAGTTGGGAGAGAGAAAAAAAGTTCTGTTAAACATTAGACTTACAAGTGAGAATGGATATAAAAACTGAAGAGAAGTTCAACAACGATGTTTTTATTACAGAACTTCATGAAATAAGTAT